TAAATTTCAGCATTATCTTCTTGCTAGAGGTATCATTCATCATAAATCTTGTCCCTATACACCCGAACAAAATGGCTTAGCCGAGAGAAAACACAGACACATCTTAGAGACTGCTATCACTTTGTTGCAAACTGCTCATTTACCCCCAAAATTTTGGTTTCATGCTTGTGCTACTTCAGTCTACTTGATCAATAGAATGCCTTGTAAAACTCTTCATTTCAAATCTCCTTATTTCTTATTGTTTGGTTCTGCTCCAGCCATTAATCATCTAAGGGTATTTGGTTGTGCTTGCTTTCCTTTGCTCAAGCCTTATAATACAAACAAACTTCAGCCTAAAACTTCTACTTGTGTCTTTCTAGGATATGCAGGACAATATAAAGGCTATATTTGTTTTTCTCTCACTACCAATAGACTGTTTGTTACTCGACATGTTCTTTTTGATGAAACTGTGTTTCCATTCACATCTGTCCATCCAGTCAGTATTTCTTCATCTCAGTCTCTCACTTCCTCTTCTCCTCCTCCATCTATTTCATTCACTAATACTGTCTTATCGCCTATCCCTTCTCTTTCTGTTTCCTCACCTTCCCCACCCATCTCTGAAGCCGCTGCACCTTTGAATGCTTCTCCTTCTGCTACACAGTCTCCTCTCCCTGTGGATCCTGATTTTCAGCCTGAAAGTCTTCGTGTTATCTTGCCTCTACCACCTGTAAATCTGCATCCTATGACAACACGGTCTAAGAATGGCATCTCCAAGAGGAAGGCTTTTTCTGCTTCTTCATCTGTTGATTTATCTACAATTGAGCCAAGTTCCTTCAAGGCTGCCTCTCAATCACCAGAATGGCAATCTGCAATGAGGGAGGAAATTGAGGCTCTTCATGCTCAAGGTACTTGGGATTTGGTTCCTCTCCCAGCTCATAAGAATCTTGTTGGTTGTAAATGGGTTTATAGGATCAAGAAGAATGCAGATGGTTCTATAGCTAGGCATAAGGCTCGCTTGGTTGCTAAGGGATTTAGTCAAGAGGAGGGTATTGATTATTATGAGACCTTCAGTCCGGTAGTTAAACCAACCACGGTTCGATTAATTCTTGCTCTTGCTGCTCAGTTTCAGTGGTCTTTACGGCAGCTTGATGTTAAAAATGCATTCTTGCATGGGATTCTTCAAGAGGAGGTTTATATGACACAACCTCAAGGCTTTGCGAGTAAGCATCATCCTTCTGACTTTGTTTGCAGACTCAAGAAGTCCTTGTATGGTTTAAAACAGGCTCCTCGTGCCTGGAACGAAAGGTTTACTAGCTTCTTACCAAGCTTGGGTTTTCAAGCTTCAAATGCAGATCCGTCTCTCTTTATTCAACATTCGTCGCTTGGTACTGTGGTTTTGCTTCTTTATGTTGATGATATCATTCTTACTGGCAGTAATTCTTCTCTTATTACATCTGTAATTGGTGCTTTAACTCAGGAGTTTGATATGAAGGATTTGGGTCAGTTGACTTATTTTCTGGGGCTGCAAATTTCATATCAGTCTGCTGGCTTGTTTGTGTCTCAAACTAAGTATATCAAGGAACTGCTTGACAGGGTTGATTTGCAGGATTCAAAACCATGTCCTACTCCTTGTCTCCCATATCACAGACTGTTGAAAGATGATGGCAAACCTTATTCTCATCCAGAGCAGTATCGAAGCATTGTTGGTGCTCTGCAGTACCTCACTTTCACAAGGCCAGATATTGCCTTCTCAGTGAATCAAGCTTGTCAATTTATGCATAATCCCATGGAGTCTCATGTTGTGGCAGTTAAGAGAATCCTGCGGTATTTGAAAGGAACTCTTGATTTTGGCATTTGGTTTAAGCCTGGTCTTCTTCATCTGCACGCTTATAGTGATGCTGACTGGGCTGGGGATCCTAATGATCGCAGATCTGTTTCGGGATTTATTGTTTACTTAGGCTCTACTCCTATTTCTTGGGCTTCTAAGAAGCAACATACTGTCTCTCGTTCGTCCACTGAGGCTGAATATAGGGCTTTGGCTATTGTTGCTGCTGAACTTGCATGGATCAGACAGTTGTTCTGTGATCTGCACGTCCCATTACATGTTCCTCCTTTAATTCATTGTGATAATATCTCTGCTATTGCTCTCTCTTCCAACCCGGTGTTTCATTCCCGAATGAAACATCTCCAAATTGATTATCATTTTGTCAGAGAACGAGTCATTCGAGGTGATTTACTTGTGCAACATGTCTCATTTGCGGAACAATTTGCTGACATTCTCACTAAGGGGCTGTCTATTCCTTTATTCCAGCATCATTGTTCCAATCTCATGCTTGGCTCCTCCAAGCATGAGATTGAGGGGGCATGTAAAGATATCAACGGTCCTCACTCTGCCACATGTCAGAAGATTGAAGAAGAGAGTTGTTGAAATATTGTTAAGACTGTTAGACAGTTTTTAGCAAAAGAGTTAGTGTTCTGTTAAAGAAGTTAGAGAGGTTAGGAGGTTAGAAACATATATACAAAGCTTTGATAAGCTAATATAAAAACCATCACTGTACTGTGTTGAAAATAATCAATGAATGAATACATCAGTTCTTCTCCTAAGATTTTCTGCTTCTCTCTGTTAAATCTCTGTTCAATATTGCTATTCTGACAGAATGGTGGTTTATATTTTATGGAAAATGGTATAGCCGCGCGGTTATACTAATTTTGTTTCCAACTGTACCTGGTATTTCCTTAGCTTTTTTAAAAATAGTATAGCCGATCGGCTATACTTGGTTTTTAAAAAAATATTCTGGCGAATTGGACTCGAACTCATCACTACGAACGTCGAGGGCACAGAGCAAGCCCGTTCCAGGTTTTGTGCAGTGTTCGAAATATCGGCCTAGGCGCTGGGATGGAGGACACCGATAGCAGGGAGTTAGGGGGGGGCGTAGACGGCCTTGGAGGATCTAGGCGGCGCCTAGGCGGCCTGGGAGGATCTAGGCGGCCTGGGAAGATCTAGGCCTTCCCGGGCGGGTCCGGGCGCCAGGGCGGGTGGGTCGTGTCCTTTTTTTTTCCAAATGAAGACAGACGAAGCTTGCTGGTGCGAAGGAGCAAAGGTGACATGTATAGGGTACTCGTCACAATCAATATCATACACTGTGCCCTCCTGGTTCTTTATGCCTAGTTTACGAAATTCATCAGCCTCCAACAATGGCAAGATGTGGCTTTCCACATCTTTTTTGCACATGTACAGCGTAGTTCGTGTCACTCACTATATGCCAACTGCTTCTCAAAACGCTTGCTGCACCTTGTGATCTTGTTTTGGTGGCTTGGGGGGACGTCAGGAGGGGCATGGCCTCCTTGTTCTACTTGTTGCGGTTGTTGAGGCAGAGGCATGTCCTGTGCTGCCATGACTGCATGTTCTTGGGCTGCAGATTCGTGAAACTGAGGTGAGACTTGGAGGCTCCAACTTTGTTCAAGTTCTTGTTGCTGTTCAGGCATGCCCTGTGCTGCAATGACTTCTTGGGCATGTTGGGTTCCACGTTTTTGTAATTGAGCAAATTCTTGGGGATAAGAAGGGACATACTTGTTAATTCCAGAGGAGGAGCCTTGTACTAGTTGTGCTGGTGCAGCAACTTCAGTTTCTTGAAACTGACCAAACTCTTGGAGGCCTTGGACTGATTGCGGATAATAAGAAGGGTTAATTCCAGAGGAAGAGCCTTGTTCTAGTTGTTGTTCTGGTGCAGCAACTCCAGTTTCTTGAAACTGACCAAACTCTTGGAGGCCTTGGACTGATTTTTGATAACAAGGGTTAATTCCAGAGGAAGAGCCTTGTTCTAGTTGTTGTTCTAGTGCAGCAACTTGCTGTGGTTCAATTTCTTGAAACAGTGCTACAAAATCTTCATTTTCTTGCTGTGGTTCAGTTTCTTGAAAAAGTGCTGCAAAATCTTCATTTTCTTGCTGTGGTTCCATTTCTTGAAAAAGTGCTGCAAAATCTTCATATTCTGGCGCAGCAACTTGCTGTGGTTGTTCTTGTGGAGCAATGGCTTCAACTAAGGGCTTCAACTTCAGTTTCTTGAAAAACTGATCTGAAATATTCTCGCATTTGTTGATTTGAAAGAATTTCTTCTTGCCTTTGCAATTCTCTTTCCGCATCTTCTGCATGCTCTACATTGGGAACAGCTGCTGGAACTTCATTTCGGGGGTCTTCATTATGATCATCAGCCATGCCTGATAGACTGATAGTGTTGTTTTCTTTCACAATGGTGCTTCTGATCGCAAGAGAAAAAGTGTTTCTTTGGGAGACTAATTTGGTTCAAGAGAAATGGGAAATGGGAAATGGATTTTCTAGACAGTTCAAGAGATTTCTTGATAATGGAGCCCAAATTACATATTAGTCTCCGGACTAAATCTGTTATAACTAACTAACAACCTGTATAATATACTTTGACTGAAGGAGACTATTACTGACTTGTAAATTTAACCATCTTGCTGGGGTAAAATATATTAATTACAGTAGACATAAGCCAGTTTGAGTTTTAGGCTCTTGGAACATACATACGAACAATAATGAAACCAAAAGCAATATATCTTTGCCATAATACTCCTAGCAAAATGAACACCTGCAACCTTCATGAATTCCTGCTTCCGAACCAGTCCAAGATCATGACATTAAATTTTCCAGCCTCCAGTGAGGACATGAATCTTGGTGACCTAAGTCTTGTCAGCCATGTCATAAGTTTTTACATGGATCGAACTTATGAAGGCGCAGTATATCAACACAAGTGCGTACATGTTGAAAGTAATCCAATGGTTCTTCAACTGTGAGGTCATAGACGTTTTCAGATATTGCAACATCATTGAGAACCTCAAGAAGGTATTGTCCATAACCCTTGTGTTGATAAGGAAGCAGTACCAATATCTGCCATCAACAAGCAGGCTTGTTAAAACTCAACAGCACCAAGATTGCACAAAAAATGAAATTTATTTGAACTAGAGCATGCATAAATAGCAACTGATATATACAACGAGCAAACCTGACCAATCCGCAACCGAGAACTATCAGGATAATGGTAAAAACGATATACAGCTGTAAAACCAAGCAACCTATTATATATTTCCCCCTGCTGATCTGTTTTCCTCTGGATCAGGACATACAACTCCCAGCTTGGATCCACAACATCAAATGGACTGCTACCTAATTCAAAAAACAACAATTGATGTCATATTCTTACACTCCCCCTTCCCATCTTTTCTCCATAAAAGTAAGAAAATAACAGTGTGTTCTCTGATGACGTGAGATAGGTGATAAAATTACCAACAATAAGAAGAAGAACAAGAGGAATCAAGTGATGGTAAAGCTGTCCAGCAGCTGTCTTGCTCACAACCAAGCGAACAACCTGAAGTTGGCTGTAGTACAGTACTTCCACGCGGCTATACTAGGTTTTTTTCCTAATTTTATTTTAAAAAGCATACAGCCGCTCGGCGATACTCGGGTTTTAAAATATTCTGGTGAATCGGACTTGAACTCATGACTACGAACGTCTAGGCACAGAGCAAGCCCGTTCCAGGTTTTGAGCAGTGTTCAAAATATTGGCCTAGGCGCTAGGCGGGAGGACACCGACACTAGGGAGTTAGGGGGGGCTAGGCGGACTGGGCGGATCTAGGCAGTGCCTAGGTGGCCCGCGCGGGTCTGGGCGCCAGGGCGGGTCGTGTCCTTTTTTTCTTCCAAATGCAGACAGACGAAGCTTGCTGGTGCGAAGGAGCAAAGGTGACATGTATATAGTGTGTGAGGAGGAGGAAAGTGTTGAATCTGTGTCTAATGTTTGAGGATTTTAGTTTTGTTATATGAGCAAGGAAAGAATCGTTTATGAAAAACGGTATATGGAGAAGAGAAAGAGCAGATGAAATGAAGAATGTTCAGTATATTTCTCTTGATGCAAATGAGCACAAACACACACTCAAATACATGACACATACTGCCAAAATAGCTCAGAGCCTAAATTTTAGGTACCAAGGACTCATCTCCAGCCATACATAATCATTGGAGGCTACGATCCTTACACCTAGGCTAGAATTGGTTATCAAGCAAGGTACAGCTGAAAAAGATAGGAATTACAGCTGTAGGAATTTTCCCAAAAAGGAAATAAAACTAGCCGTTAGACAGCTAAGCTAACAGCTAATACTAAAACTAGGAAGTTCCCAAGTTCTTCGATTTCTTCATTCTCTTCATTATCAATCTGCAGGATTGTCATCTGCAGCTTGATTTAAGCTTAGTATGCAGCTTAATTCTCAACAGAAAGGTCACATAAAATAAGGAAAGGCGTAAGAAATGAGGGGTTTGTTTCGTGTGAAATAAAAGGAAGAGATAGAAAACTGTGTTTCTGTTGTTGAGAGAGTGAGAATTGGGAAGCAAATGAAGAGGGAATGAGAGATTTATAATTCCTGGTGGTCTTGGTTGGGGTAAGATGATTTCTGTTCAAGCCCTGAAGCTGAAAGAACCTCCTGCACTGATATTTTCTTTGTCAATAGCTCTTGAAGCTGTTGCTTTGTTATGAAGATCTTAATCCTTCTTGTAGCAGCCCTGTCCTTTTCTGTAACATCCACAGATGAAATAATACCTGCACTGATCGCATCACTTGCAACAGAACCCAGAAGAGGAATCATATAGTAAACCTTCCCAAGCTTCAGTTTGTAATTAGGAGGGAGAAGCTCTGAGGCTTGCTTTGATACACTAATACCAGAGCCCGAAAAGTTCATCAACATGTCCTTAACAAAAGTTGGTGCCCTGAATTCTAAAACTTTCCCATCTGTCTTCACAACCCTCAAAACTTTCTCCTGCTTGGAGAGAACAAAACAGTTGACCATTTTTCTTCAGAACTAGAGACAAGCTATATATGTGTATATAGTTATAGTTCTAGCTAGTACTGGGATAATGGAGCCAATTGGGAGATATGTGTAGCTCTGAAAAGGTGATCCTATAACTTGCTTCAAGAGAGAGAGAGAGAGAGAGAGAGAGAGAGAGAGAGAGAGAGAGGATTTGTAGTTATAACTTATATTAACTATTGCTGGTGCGAAGGAGCAAACGTGACATGTATAGTGTGTGAGAAGGAGGAAAGGTGACATAAAATAAGGAAAGGCAAAAGTAATGAGGGGTTTGTTTCGTGTGAAATGAAAGGAAGAGATAGAAAACTGTCTTTCTGTTGTTGAGAGAGTGAGAATCGAGAGGCAAATGAAGAGGGAATGAGAGATTTATAATTCCTGGTGGTCTTGGTTAGGGTAAAGAAAAGGAAAAGATAAATTAGTCGTCAACATGCATGCAGGGAGAGGTCGGTTATGCATCATCCTTATTTTGTACACCTTATTTTGGAGGCTTGTAGTGTAGATATGCATCATCCTTATGGCTTTGATGATGTCAAAAGAAGCATATTGTTCCAATTCTGGAATGAAGAGGGAGACAGCTTCAACTAGTTTTAGCCTTTTAACTAATTAGTTACTGGCAAAAGAGAGATAAAACAATAATTAAATAAAGGAGGTTAGGTGGGACTTAACTGAGCCCAAGAGAAACATCTCATTTTTGGGGTCTCCACTGAGGGAAGGTCATTATCTGTAATATATGCATCATCAGCTTCTTCCAGCTGCCCCTTCACGTTTTCAACTTCAATACCTTTGCCCTTTTTGCTCTTTTCAGTAATCTCCACCTTCCTCTTCAGGTCTTCCACGATTATTTGAAGGGTTCTTAACTTTTGTACATTAGCATCAAGTCTTTCTAGAATCCTTCTCTTGTTGCCTTCTTGACGGGGATCTGTAAATCTCTTAGAGATCTCTAATTTGTCCACGCCCAATTCCTTCTCAACCAATGATTTTGAAGAGGAATATTTATTCTTGTGTTCCTTTAAAAGACTTTCTGGCTAGAAGACCATACACGATGGCATTGAAGCACAAAACATAATTGCATTAACTCATGGGTGCGTGTCTAGTTTATGAGATGTGGCGTCTGCAAGCACATGCTTCTCAGGTGCTGTTGTACACTCCTTCAAAGACATGACAGATAAACGAAAATCAGGGGGGAGGAAAAAAGGATGCCAGTATAGCCGCACGGCTAGATATTCTAAACATATTATACTATTTAAATGGTCGGCTATACTGTTTTTCTTTAAATTTAAAAAAAGGCCAAAAATGGCTATACGCTTTATATTTCCCTCCCTGCCTGGCTCGCTTCACCGAATCACTTCCCATCAAAGTCTTCAAGTTCAAGGCCAAAAAAGAGGTGGGCAATTCCTCATTTGAGCTATCATGGCGTCTCCCAAGAAAGATAGGAAAATTGAAGAAAAACTTAAGCTTGGTTCCAGTCGAGCCTAAAGCCCCAGACTCTGGCTGGTGGGATAGTTTCTTCAACCCAAGGTTTTTCTTTTCACTAAGCTTAGTCTTCAATTACTCTGCCTCCTGCTTTTTAGTGGAATGCATTCAGATTACTTGTAGTTTTAACTAAATTATCTTTATATTTGGCTTATTTTGGAAAATCTATGATGCACATAAATCTAGAACATGTGGTGGATTTTGATCTGTAATGTTAAATTCGGTAATGATGTTCATAATTAGAGCTCAAAACCTATAAATTATGCTTTTGTTTAGTTAGGCTGTTGGAAAAATCGGCCTAGGCGCTAGGTGGCCGCCTAGGCGGGTCTAGGCGGGTCCTTTTTTTCTTTTTTTTTCCTGACTTTAGCTAAATCATGAACTCGCTTCAATTTCTGATGGCCGCTATACAAAAATTTGCTTTTGATTATGTGTTTTGCATCCCTAAAAGAGAAGGACGTGGTCAAAAAGTTATTACTAGAGGGAGCAATAGAGATTTTACCATGTAAAAGTAGTATGTAATTGTTAAGAATCTGGTTTGGCATAAGTTGGATGAGTAGTTGGAAATCCTGACTGAATCAGACTTGGGGAATATACAGACATGCTGTCAGTGAGTCTGTTTGTGTGGACTTTGAGAATGACGCAACAACTACTCACAGAAGATCTAAGGTTTCAAATTCAACATTCCATCTCAACCAGCTGCAATGGCACCACAATCAATATGATTCGAATGGTATGTGTTTTCTTTCATCATATTTCAACTATCTTTCTATTTCAACCAATAGTGCTGACAAGAGTATTCATAGCTCTTGAATCTCATATTTTGAAAGTTATTCATTTGCAGTAATTTTCCAAGAGGAAGCTTGGTTTGAATCAGTGAGTATTCTGGAGTTTGACTCGGATGATGACTTTATCAGTATACATGAAGGTATTGGGCATCAGCCTGTAACAACATATTACAGAGTGAAAGCTTTGTGGTCTTGTCTGATTGTAAAACATCATTACTACTGAAGTAATTTTTTCTGGAGCTACTTATTGGAAAAGGATTTTGTTTTGTTTTCTTAATTTTCTTCTCTTATTCTACAGATGGTTTTCCATTAGCAAGCAATCCAGTTGGGAATATCTCAAGTGGCCAAGTACTTTAGTACGAAAGATCTGCTCCCTTTGTTGAAATGGGTGTACGTATGAAGAATTCCAAAGCTATATGAAAATAGATGGAGATAAAATCACAGGCAAAGATGAGCGCAGGGAATCATATTGGTTTTCGCTTATTAGTACCCAGAGCTATGAGCTTTCTCGCTTAGGGAAGGCTGATGAAGTTTGTAGTAAGAGGAAGAATATGTTAGATCACTCTTATGTTAAATTCAGATTATGATATTTCAAAGGTATAGCCGTGCGGCTATACATTTAAAATATTGTGTTTATGGACTCTTACCAAAACAAATTTATGTCCGGAGTGCTAAATTGAATCAATAAATTTGTGATCATGAAAATACTCTAGTAATTCACTGACTCACTTGAGAAGTTATTTTATTGCTTGTGTACATATCCACACGACATGTTGATGTGATTTATCAAAATTTTCTCAAATTAATATAATTTGTGCACCATAGTTATAAAATCCAAATTTTACACAAAAAGAAGGAACAATAAGAGAAAAAATCGTAGCCAAAGGTGGTTTTCATGTGGTAGATCCAAAGGTTCCTATGAAGATGAATCCATTCTCTTTGAAAAGTTAGAATGGTGGTTCACATTTTTTGAAAAATATAGTAGAGCTGTTTAAAAAAATAGTGTAGCCGTTCGGCTATACTGGGTTTTTTTTAAATATTCTAGTGAATCAGACTCGAACTCATCCTTACGAACGTCTAGGGCATAGAGCAAGCCCGTTCTAGGTTTTGAGTAGTGTTCGAAAAATCGGCCTAAGCACTAGGCGGGAGAGGACACCGACACCACGGAGTTAGGGAGGGCCTAGGCGGCCTGGGCGGATCTAGGCGGCGCCTCGGCGGCCTGGGTGGGTCTGGTCTAGGCACTAGGGCGGGTCGTGTCCTTTTATTTCCAAATGAAGACAGACGAAGCTTGCTGGTGCGAAGGAGCAAAGGTGACATGTATATAGTGTGTGAGAAGGAGGAATGGTGACATAAAATAAGGAAAGCCATAAGAAATGAGGGGTTTGTTTCGTGCGGAGTGAAAGGAGGAGATAGAAAACTGTGTTTCTGTTGTTGAGAGACTGAGAATTGGGAGGCAAAAGAAGAGGGAATGAGAGATTTATAATTCCTGGTGGTCTTGGTTGGGGTAAAGAAAAGGAAAGGATAAATTAGTCGTCAACATGCATGCAGGGAGAGGTCGGTTAGTGGAGGGAGGCGCATTGGCATTGCTCACCAATGCCTTTTTGCTTTATTGATTTCTTTCTAGTACTAGAAGCCTAATGTTACTGTCTAATAAAGTCACATAGAAAATCCTTCAATTTCAACCAATAGTGCTGACAAGAAAATTTATAGCTCTTGAATCTCATATTTTGAAAGTTATTCATATGCAGTAATTTTCCAAGAGGAAGCTTGGTTTGACTCGGTGAGTATTATGGAGTCAGACTCGGATGATGACATTATCAGTATACAGGGAGGTAATGGCCATCAGCCTGTAACTACATATTATAGAATGAAAGCCTTGTTGTCTTGTTTGATTGCAAAATTTCTTTACTACTGAAGTAATTTTTCTTGAGCTACTTATTGAAAAAGGATTTTGTTTTGTTTTCTTAATTTTCTTCTCTTATTCTACAGATGGTTTTCCATTAACAAGCAATCCAGTCGGGAATATCTCAAGTGGCCAAGTACTTTAGTAAGAAAGATCTGCGAATTTTGATAAAGACATCTCTCCTCAATTCCAGGACAACATCATGGTAACTTCATTTTGTATGCTAGTTCATCCATTTGGATAGGCATGTACTTTATTCTGATGTACTCTCCCTGATGGAAATGTGATCTTATGTTCTATTGGAACACTCAAGCTGTTGATATATTTGAATGATGCTTTTAGAAAATGGTTGAAGATGAGACAGAAAAAGTTAAAGGATTTGCAAAGGACTCCACTGTACCTTTTAGAGAAAGACTAAAGATCATGAGGATATCGGTTGGAGTTTTGCTGAGAAGAAGCTTGTGCATGCATATAATGACAAACCAGTTCTTTCACACCCCTAGCACAATTTTTACAAGGTAAACATTGAACATTTATGTTGCTGAGTATTAAGAAGATGAAACATAAAAACCATGTTGTTTGACTTTATCAAGCTCTCTCACATGCAGGGTCCTAACTACTTTGCGATTGATCTGGACATTCATCGCTTCAGCTACATATCAGGGAATGGTCTCGAATTGTTTTATGAATGTCTTAAAAAACGGAATAGCCAAGCGGCGATATTCTCTTCTAAAATGATCTATTTATGGAGTATAGCCAGGCGGCTATACTCTCTTTTAAAATATTCTGTTTATGGCTTATAGCCGCGCGACGGTACTTTTAAATATTCTGTTTATAGATTATAGCTGAGCGGCTGTACGCTTTAAATATAACTATAAAAATCTGGATTTCTCTGTAGCAAAGTTGAGCCTTGAGATAATGAATCAATTAGACCTAGTATGCATTTATGTTCTAGCTTTGTTCCTCTGCGGGTGCTTAGGGTTGAGAGAAAATTTATGCCTTGTTTGTGTGTTGCATGTGTATGAGAAGTGACATAATGATGTTGCTTATCTTTTTAGGTGCCCTTTGTCATATTTCCTAATACATTCAAATATTTAAATGGTATAGCGGTGCGTCTATATGCGAATAATAATATAATTACTAATTGAAGTAATTATAAAAGGCTAAGATATTACTTAAAGACATATATATTAAATTTAAGAAGTTGGGCAAAAAATAAAAGTAAAGAAACTAATTTTATATTTAAAAATAAATAAATAAAGAGCAAGAAGACCTGTCGCGATGACTCTAGTGTCTGGCATGAGTCGAGGAGGGTGTGTCTTCTTCGACAATTTTCCTTGCTTTAGTTGCGAAACTCCTGAGCTGACTGCATGCTTGATTGGATCGAACTTATGAAGGCGCAGTACATCAACACAAGTGCGTACATGTTCAAAGTAATCCAATGGTTCATCAACTGTGAGGTCATAGACGTTTTCAGATATTGCAACATCATTGAGAACCTCAAGAAGGTATCGTCCACAACCCTTGTGTTGATAAGGAGGCAATACCAATATCTGCCATCAACAAGCAGGCTTGTTAAAACTCAACAGCACCAAGATTGCACAAAAAATGAAATTTATTTGAACAACGGAAGCACCAAGCTGTTTCTCTAGAGCATGCATAACTAACAACTGATATATATAAAGCAACATATTGTAGATTTCCCCCTGCTGATCTGTTTTCCTCTGGATCAGGACATACAACTCCCAGCTTGGATCCACAACATCAATTGCACTGCTACCTAATTCAAAAAACAACAATTGATGTCATATTCTTACATTCCCTAAACCCTAAACCCGGCTATACCTGTTTTTATCTGATTTTAAAAAAAATAGTATAGCCGGCCGGCTTTACTCGGAGTTTTTTTTATTTTATTTTTTAAAATAGTATAGCCGGACGGCTATACGTGGTTTTTTTTAATATTATGGTGAATCGGACTCGAACTCATCAGTACGAACGTCTAGGGCACAGAGCAAGCCCGTTCTAGGTTTTGAGCAGTGTTCGAAATATCCGCCTAGGCGCTAGGCGGGAGGACACCGAAACCAGGGAGTTAGGGCGCCCTGGGCGGTTCTAGGCGGCCTGGGCTGATCTGGGCGGATCTAGGCGGGTCTGATCGCCAGGGCGGGTCGTGTCCTTTTTTCTCCAAATGAAGACAGACGAAGCTTCCTGGTGCGAAGGAGGAAAGGTGACATAAAATAAGGAAAGGCATAAGAAATGAGGGGTTTGTTTCGTGTGGAGTGAAAGGAAGAGATAGAAAACTGTGTTTCTGTTGTTGAGAGAGTGAGAATTGGGAGGCAAATGAAGAGGGAATGAGAGATTTATAATTCCTGGTGGTCCTGGTTGGGGTAAAGAAAAGGAAAAGGATAAATTAGTCGTCAACACGCATGCAGGGAGAGGTCGGTTAGTGGAGGGAGGCGCATTGGCATTGCTCACCAGTGCCTTTCTGCTTTATTGATTTCTTTCTAGTACTAGAAGCCTCATGTTACTGTCTAAGAAAGAAAGGTCTCTTGGAGTTTTATAACTGGCTTCAAGGGCATCTTCCAGCTAATATGACAGTGGACCATGAAATGTATTTTGTAGAATGTGTTGACTTTGCCAAATCCTTCATCCAACAGTATATCAAAGAGGTATGTCTTCTTTATCTTTAAAACTAGGAGTTTTTTTGTCTATGTTTATATGCAACGTGATATAAGCAAAATAGGCAATCTATTCACCCAGACCCAAAAAAAGAAAAATTGTATCCATATTTTGTTTTGTCTATCTGAATGCATCATCTTATTCAACAATTTCACGTACTAAAATTGCAGTTCTGTATTCTTCATTTGTTGTATTTTTCTTGCAGTTTTTTAGACTCATGTCCTCATTTCTTGGCTTGTTTTTGAACTGTAGGATGATGTATTATTCAAAGTGCTCTTGCATCTGCTTTGTGTACCTTGTTGTGCAGAACAGTAAGGAATTAATATCCTAGTTTTCCATTGTTTTAAAAGTTATCATCATGGATTCCTTTTAACAAGATTTTTGGGTTTATATAGGGATGAAAAGGAAAAGGTTGCATTGGAGGATTCGAATGGCAATTTACTTTTCCGTGTCTCAGATCTTTTCAATCCTGTACTCTTGTTCCATCTTTTCCTACTAGAGGCAACATGCATTAATCTTTCATTTGCTTCTTACCATCCTTTATGCATTCTCTTTTAGGTGCTTGCGTAAAGTGTGTGATTCATGGAGCTTATTTGTGGAATTTCTAGTGGGTGGGCAAGCTACAAATCAGTCATTTTGCAAGAAAAGAAAAGTTTCATTGGGTGGCTCAAGTTCCTGGGGAGAGGATTCTCTTGCACCAACAAAAAATCATCTCACATTTCTTCATGATGAACCTGATGAAGAAAATGAAAATGGCTGCAAGCATACCCAAAATGGAGGACAGTATTTCAAAGAAGCCAAAGAGTGCTTACTTTCACTTAAAATTTCTATTGAAGGTCTACACCAAAAGAATCTGTTTCCCTACAATCCTAATGTTCTTCTGAACCGGTATGTCTCTTTGAAATGAGTTTCATTATGCTTCCCAGTAAACTAGTGATTGCTCTTACAATAGGGTTTGATTTTATTTTGAATTTACTACAGTCAACTTCTTTCTTTCACTTTTAGTTCCCTTCGTACCCCAAGTCTTCCTTATTATCTCAAACATTCTTCTCATTTCAAAATATAAACTTCTGGTTTCTTATTCCTTGTTACTTGGCATGATGGCGAGAACAACGTTACCGGGCGGTTTTACTCGGTATTTTCTGAATTTTTTTTAAAATAGTATAGCCGGTCGGCTATACTCGGTTTTTTTAAAATATTCTGGCGAATCGGACTCGGACTCATCACTACGAACGTCTAGGGCACAGAGCAAGCTCGTTCCAGATTTTGAGCAGTGTTCGAGATATCGGCCTAGGCGCTAGGGGGGAGGAGACCGACACCAGGGAGTTAGGGGGGGCCTAGGCGCCCTGGGAGGATCTAGGCGGCACCTAGGCGGCCTGGGCGGGTCTGGGAGCCAGGGCGGCACTAGATGGGAGGACACCGACGCCATGAAGTTAGGCGGCGCCTAGGCGGCCTGGAAGGATCGAGGCGGCGCCTAGGCAGCCTGGAAGGATCTAGGCGGCGCCTAGGAGGCCTGGGCGGATCTAGGCGGCCCCTAGGCGGATCTAGGCGGCCTGGGAGTATCTTGGTGGCCTGGGCGGGTCATGTCCATAGTTATAATCAACTTAGGCATCCATAGTTTTCCAAAAATTTACAAGCAGCAAAACAGAGAAAAGACGAGAATCATGGAGATTCCTTCGATCTGAACAACTCTGAGAGGGGAAGCAACCTCTTCTGTCGCTGCCACCTGAAGAAAGGATCTTGCCACCGCTGTACAATCAACAAAACAAAACCAAATTTTCACAAAGAAGAAAAACAAACGCATTCAAATTTACAGATAAAAATACAGATAGAGAATTGTACGAACGGGTTGCCATGTTGTAATTTCACGGAGAGAGCAAAATAAGAGAGGAGAGATTAAAATAAGAGAAGAGAGACAGAGCAACAGTATAAGATGGGAAGCTTTGCCTCTCTCGGGTGCTGAGGAACCTCTGTGCATAGTGAATGTGAAGATGATTGCTAAACCCATGCCTCTCTGCTTTGCCTCTCTCGGGTGCTGAGGAACCTCTGTGTATTAGAAGCCTAATGTTACTGTCTAATATTTTGACTACATGCCTATAAATTTTTTTATTTATTTAAATATTTTGACTGTACAAGTGGAATAGCACTGTAGGGTGGACGCTACTTTAGACTATGTGAATGAGTTTGATATTGAGGAGGAGGTAATAGTACGGGCCAATGAAATCTTCTTCAACAGATTCAAAGAAAATTTTGGTTGAAATTTTGTACACCTTATTTTGGAGGTAATATATGCATCATCCTTATGGCTTTGGAGAGAAAGAAAGGAAAAAGAAGTGAAATCAGAAGACAAAGATCCCCTGCTGAAAGAAAAGCACCTTATGTTTATGAAAAGTGGTCACCTTCTCTCCAATTCCAATCTTCTTTTCTTGCTTGCAATTTGCACAGCTGAGGCTTCCCTCTGCTCTCTATGTTCTATGTATATGTCCTTTCACTTTTGTCATGGTTGGTTTTCAATTTCAAACAAGTTCAATGAATCCACAGACTCACAGCATGCGGAGGGCTAAGACTTTGCTGCTTCTTGTTTGACTTTTAAAGAGACACCAGGGACAGACAGATAGAGAGGTTTTGCCCCATTCTTTTGGTTTGGGCCGGCTACCGCCACAATACAATTTGCCGAAAGGAAGTCGGAGAATGATACAATGACAAACTTTGGTGTTGATTTGATGCCACTCTTTGTAATGGATGGGGTCCTCTCGTTTCAGAAGTTTCCGCTACACATTTTTTAACCTCGGTATAGACTTGTGGTAAGTTGGTTAGAAGTTTATATTTTTCACATATGACATTCATAAAATAATTAAACGTAGAAGTGCATTTGCTGCAAAATAACTATGTTGACAAACTTATCTGCCAAGGTCTGTATGCCTACTTGGTACTTTTCTACAGTCCATGTGATCCATGTGTTTTGTTGTTTTTATTGAATATTCATAGATTTTTGCTTGTACCTTCTCACTTAAACAACGGGTAAGGAGGATAATGGAAGGCAACCGTCGAATGGGAAGGAATGGTAGATAAGTGTCACTGGTCCCTTTATTTCCCTTTTAACTTTCTTAAGGAAGATAAAGTTTGACCCAAAGTATAAGTTTCACTGATTGTTGCTTGTTTTTTATTTTATTTTGTAGGTTATCATTGATTCTTCGACAGGTTCAATAGCTAATTTTTCTTGTGAAGTGCTAATTTTTCTTAATTTTCTAGTCTGCAGAATGTCATTTGTAAACTCCACTACCATGCTTCCTCCTTTTAAACAAAAAAAATCTTATTATTTATGTAGGGGTGAACCACTCCCAAAGGGACGTTTCTATTTAGAGGTTAAATACGAGTGTCTTTCACTTCAATCTGTACTTTTGCGCTCTGTTTACATTGTATAATTCGATCTTGGGACCAAGATGGGTGAGTGGTCTTATCAGATGTCTAGCCATTCATTTTAATTACTGCTCTTGTTCAATATTTTTGTCTTTTGATGTACTCCTCAAGTACCATATGACAAGAGCCGCATGCTTTCATTGTCTGATACATTGATTGTAACCTATTATTAATATTAATAGAAATATGGACATTGTTTTTCTAATACCTATAGACCTTTTTCATTCTAGTATGAATTCTATCAGTACACTCCTTCAAAGAGATGACAGAATGCTGGTATAGCCGGCCGGCTACACCTTCTAAATATATTATATTTAAAGAGTACAGCCGTGCGGACATACCATTTAAATATCATTTTCATAGCATAATACGGCTATACTATTTATTGAAAAAAAAGAGGCCAAAAATGGCAATACGAGCTTTATATTTCCCTCCCTGCCTGGCTCGCTTCGTCGAATCATTTCCCATCAAAGTCTTCAAGTTCAAGGCCAAAATAGAGGTGGGCAATTCCTCATTTGAGCCCTCATGGCGTCTCCCAATAAATCAAAGAAAAGAAAGAAAGATAGGAATATTGAAGAAAAACTTAAGCTTGGTTCCAGTCGAGCCTGAAGCCCCAGACTCTGGCTGGTGGGATAATATTTTTAAAGAGTTTATTTTTTTTTCCGAAATTGCCCTTCGTCTCGTCTCTTTCTAACTACTGTTTGGTTATGAGGTGGGTCCCACGACTGCCACGTTAGCAGTTAACGTCTGACTTTGACGATCAATGTAACGGCTGGTGTAAATTGGTAACATTTCGAAATGTTGGATACGAAATTGATTAAAATGAAACCTTGGGGTCCATTTTGATACTGACACTAAACCTCCAGGGACTAAACTGTAGTTAATCCTAAATTAAATTTTATCCATGCATTAGGTAAATATTACCAAGGAAAGAATTGAAAATTTAAATTCTAAAATTCAATTACGAGGAGATAATGCATTAAATTTAGATTTTCAATGTGTTTTCTTTATTACCCCAATGGGTAAATCGACACAACAAAAAAGTAATAAAAGTCAGAGGACTTACATCTAAAACCAAAAAAGCATGGACTAAACTCAATGACAGCTAATCATTTTGGACTTAGATCGAAGAACCCCTTATATTTTCTACTCAAAGGTTCTTAAAGGGAGCTTCAAGCATTGATCAACACTTCTTCTCAACACCATTTAAGAAAAATATACTTGTAAGTGTCCAAAGTTGTTATTGTCATAATTATTGCTAGAGTGATTGTCGTGCATTTCCTATTCGAAATGGCAAGATGGTACCTGTAACACTAGTTTTAGAGGCATAGCCGTGCGGCTATATTCTTTAAATATATTTGAATATTTTAAAGGTATAGGCGGCCGGCTATACTCTTTAATCTATCCAGGGTTTAGCTCTGATAATCCTTTTCCATGTAAACAAACAAAAAATTTGCAGAATCAGAAACATACGTAAATTGGACACCATGGTAGCCACGGATAGAGGACTCAAACTAGTCTGTACGAACGTCTAGGGCACAGAGCAAGCCCGTTCCAGATTTCGAGAAGTGTTCGAAAAATCGGCCAAGGCACCAGACGGGAGGACACCGACGACAGGGAGTTAGGCGGCGCCTAGGCGGCCTTGAAGGATCTAGGCGGCGTCTTGGCGGCCTTGAAGGATCTAGGCGGCGTCTTGGCCGCCTGGGAGGATCTAGGCGGCGCCTAGGCGGCCTGGGAGGATCTAGGCGGCGCCTAGGCGGCTTGGGAGGATCTAGGCGGCCCTAGGCGGCCTGGGAGGATCTAGGTGGCCTGGGCGGGTCGTGTCCATAGTTATAATCAACTTAGGCATCCATAGTTTTCCAAAAATTTACAAGCAGCAAAACGGAGAAAAGACGAGAATCATGGAGATTCCTTCGATCTGAACAACTCTGAGAAGGGAAGCAACCTCTTCTGTCGCTGCCACCTGAAGAAAGGATCTTGCCACCGCTGTACAATCAACAAAACAAAACCAAATTTTCACAAAGAAGAAAAACAAACGCATTCAAATTTACAGATAAAAATACAGATAGAGAATTGTACGAACGGGTTGCCATGTTGTAATTTCACGGAGAGAGCAAAATAAGAGGAGGAGAGATTAAAATAAGAGAAGAGAGACAGAGCAACAGTATAAGATGGGAAGCTTTGCCTCTCTCGGGTGCTGAGGAACCTCTGTGCATAGTGAATGTGAAGATGATTGCTAAACCCATGCCTCTCTGCTTTGCCTCTCTCGGGTGCTGAGGAACCTCTGTGTATTAGAAGCCTAATGTTACTGTCTAATATTTTGACTACATGCCTATAAATTTTTTTATTTATTTAAATATTTTGTTGTAGGGTGGACGCTATTGAGTGAAATGGGGTCTCAATGAAATCTTCTTCAACAGATTCAAAGAAAATTTTGGTTGAAATTTTGTACACCTTATTTTGGAGGTAATATATGCATCATCCTTATGGCTTTGGAGAGAAAGAAAGATGGAAAAAGAAGTGAAATCAGAAGACAAAGATCCCCTGCTGACAGAAAAGCACCTTATGTTTATGAAAAGTGGCCACCTTCTCTCCAATTCCAATCTTCTTTTCTTGCTTGCAATTTGCACAGCTGAGGCTTCCCTCTGCTCTCTATGTTCTATGTATATGTCCTTTCACTTTTGTCATGGTTGGTTTTCAATTTCAACCAAGTTCAATGAATCCAAGCCAACAGTCACAGACTCACAGCATGCGGAGGGCTAAGACTTTGCTGCTTGTTTGATTTTTAAAGAGAAACACCAGAGACAGACAGATAAAGACGTTTTGCCCCTTCCTTTTGGTTTGGGCCCGTTACCGCCACAAGACAACAGATTCAGCTTTGGATGCTTCTCCTCCTAAATCCTAATGGGATGTTGGAGAAATAACAGTATAGCCGACCGGCTATACTTCTTTAATATATTCGAGAGTATAGCCGCGCGGCTATACTCTGTAAATACGTTCAAAGATTTTAAAAGTATAGCCGAGCTATTTAAATATGTTCCTAACAAGCAAGAAACTCACAGAGGAATGTTGTCCGCGAATGAAATGAACGTACAGAGAAACGAACACGAAGCTTGCACTCTCAGACAGCCATTTTGCTTCTCTATAAGCGTTTCAAAGCATCAAAAACTCGGTCTTTAGGCTCTCTCTCAACCCAAGCTTCAAATTTTTTTTTCGTCAGTTTCAGTTGCTGCGTTGATTCGATTGGTTGGGCTCTCTCAATGTCTGTTGAGGCAAAGCCTTTGTCCTCCGGGTTCGGCACCTACGTGCCTGGTGACCTGGACGATTGCATTTCGGTGAGTGTGGTTTCTCTTGTTTGGTAGTTGAGAAAATGTTAGGAAACCAGGAAGAAATTGAGTAATTTGTTTACCAGGAGGATCCAATTCGATTTTTAATTTCAAATTAATGTTAGAATTGGTGAAACGCTTTCGATCAAATCAAAAGTAAAATAGATTTTTGTTGTTAAAAAAGACAACATTCTAACAAGTGGTCTATTGATTCCATGGCAGACCAACACAAGACACACTGGTTCACCAATTGCAAGCCTCTTCTTTGTATTTGTTCGATGGTTAAAAACCGTCCATGTAAAGGCAACCAAGCAGAAAATGCAAGAGGACTTAAAGACTCCACTACCATACTCCCCAATTACACTCCCTTAAAGGAAGTCCTGTATAATAGGAACTTCTACTTACAGTTGTTCTTCCTACTGAGAGGAAGTCTATAAGGAGAAACAGTTATGCTAAGAGGAAATCCATGTAGAATACAACGTTTTGAGACCCTTAATCAAGTCCTAACTAAAATACGGGGTTTTAACGCACGTTTACAAAGCCTGAGATCCCATCATGCACAACAAGTCTAAAACTACGTACAGTTTCTCTTAATGGACTTTTTTTGTAGTTTCACTTCTCTTAAGGGAATTTCTAAAATGTTATATTATTTTATCTTTTGTGTGGTATTCTGCAGCAATCCTCTTCAGAATTTAGAGATACAAGCTAATTTCACAGGGAGGAGAAGCCATAGAAAAGCAGAACGCAGTGATGACTTTGATTGCACACTATGCTTGAAATTACTATATGAACATGTCACAACTCCTTGTGGGCATTTAGTGCCTATTTCGGTCAATGGATCGAGGTGAGTGTTTTGCTATTACTGATTCTATTTAATTGAGCTAGTTTATATCTTCTAATCCCTTTTTAGTCCGTGACTTGTGTTAATTTTCCTACATAACAAATGTCCTTTGTGGCGAACAGTTCTTTTCATTAGTCCTAGAACACGTGCTTATAATAATTGAATGAGATGCTTGTATTATTTGACATCAGAATTATTGCTCTATGGTTTTCTATACCTATGCTGTTTGTAGGCATTGTTACACATCCTCCAGGAGTTCCACCTATTATAGGTTGAGTCTGGCATTCTCACTTTTACAGAGTATAACAATTAGCGGATTTGCGGTTCTAGATTTTGGAAATAACCAAAATCCAAGTAAAATGAAATTACTAATATCTATAAATATGAATTTAGGAAATCATTTTTGTGAGGCCATTCAAACTTTTACTTCCATCATGCATTCAATGCTAGGGCGCATATATTTTAGGTCTGTCAGCATGATATGTGCTTCCTAATTTTTTGTGCTTAATTAGTGTTATAGCGTTCAGAATTTGCTTAATTAGTGTTATAGCGTTCAGAATTTCCTTCAAAATCTTATTTCTATTTTTGTTAGTGTGACACTTAACAACATTATACATAAGAACTTCCCAGAGGAATTTGCCGAAAGGAAGTTGGAGAATGATACAATGACAAACTTTGGTGTTGATTTGATGCCACTCTTTTCTTGTGAAGTGGAAATTACCAAGTAGATCTTTCATCCTCCTCCTTTCCTTCTTAATTTTTTAGTATATGCAGAATGTCATTTGTAAACTCCACTACCACGCTTCCGCCTTTTAAAGAAAAAAATTATTATTTATGAAAAAAGAACAAAAGGGATCCGTCTGGTGCCTAACATGTCAAAAATAGTACAGCCGCGCGGCTAACTTGTCAAAAATAGTACCGCCGCACGGCTATACAATTCTTTTAATAAAAACCGTAGGCTATACTATTTTGAATAATAAAAAACCCCCGTGTATAGCCTTGCGGCTATACTATTATAGAGGGGGAGCCTAGCGCCCATTTTGCCACGTGTCAGAATAGTATAGCCGCGCGGCGATACTAATTTTTATAACAAAACCCGTAGTATAGCCGCACGGCTATATTATTTATAATAAAAAACAGGTGACCACTGCCTAGCCCCTAGATACAACACGAGTCAAAATAGTATATCCACGCGGCTATACTAATTTTATAATAACAACCGTAGTAGGGCTGCGCGGCTATACGATTTTCATTTTAAAAAAACCATGCGTATAGCCTCACGGCTATAATATTTATAATTAAAAAAAAAAGGACCCGCTTGGTGCCAAGCTCCCGCTTTGCCACATGTCAAAAACTGTATAGCCACTCAGTTATACTATTTTTATAATAAACCCATAGTATAGCCGCACGCCTATACTAATTTTTTTTTTTAAAACCCCCAAGTATAGCCGCGCGGCGACACTATTTTTTTATTTTTTTTTAAAAGAGAACCCCCACCTCTCAAACACCTCATGGCAGAGGATCTAACAGCAATTCTCGGGCTCTAGTAGCCCTGATGTGCAATCCAGATCGGGGCACCAGATGCTTCTAATGTTCTCTTCAAGCTTGGAGCTTGGAATGACGTCAAAATGCATGGCCACCCTTATGTCTCCACAGAAACAGAAGATAAAGCCAAATCATACATCAATTGAATTTGTACTTGCATGCCATGACAATATATTGCAAAATCACCATCATACATCAAAATGGTGATTTTGCAATATATTCGCCAACCAAAACAAGAATTTGGAACAAAGATTTATAGTAGTAAGAGGTCGTAATATTCTTCATGTAAAGTGTTTGTTTGAAAAGTGAAGCAATTACTAAAACCACTCCAACTAATCATGTCATTCGCTACGACAAATAATGTGCGCGGTAACATAATTTAATAGCACTCGAGAGAACGAGATAGATCAAAGGCAAACATTCCCACAAAAAATATAAATTCAATAATTGCTCTTAGATTGATTTACTACGAAATTTCTCTCTCTTCAATATTTGCTTTCGATATGTTGAAACTAGCAAATTAATAACATGGGAAATAGTTAGGCATAAAACCTAGGTTTTTTTAGAGGGTGCATTTGCTAACGCATGGGTTGGGAATCTCTTAATTATATTTAACTTTTCAAACTGACTTCAAAATCACTAGATTAACACACTAGCATGAAATATCGTTTATTGAGCCTCCCTTGGTGTAAAAGGACTATGACTTCATTAGCTAAAAGTGCTTTAGAAGAAGGATTGACCTCGAGTTCATTGACATCCTATTTTTTGTTGTTGTATTTATGGGTTAAACTTGCGTTATTTTTTATAAATTAAATTCATTTTTTTAAATTCTTGTCTAATGGGCTAATAGCTAGAAATCATTAGAATATGAGGTATTGGAAAGAATTTAAATTCTCATTCCCCAATATCGCTTGTACAAATAAAATAATTAAAGAAATAGCTCTAGTCCAATGGACTAAAGTGATATTTCAGCCCCAAACCTTAAAATGATATTACGGAACTGTATATTTAAAGCGTATAGCCGGGCGGCTATATTCGCCAAATATATTAGAATATTTTAAACTTATAGCCGGGCGGCTATACTCGCCAAATATATTAGAATATTTTAAACTTATAGCCGGTCGGCTATACTTTCTAAATATATTCGAATATTTTAAAAGTATAGCCGTACGGCTATACGCTTGAAATGTTAATATATTATAATATTTTAAGAGTATAGCCGCGCGGCTATACCCTTTAAATATATTCCAAATGAACACGAAGCCTGAACTCGCAGAGGACGGAGGTTGCAGTCGAAGTTTCGCTTCTCTATCAACTCAAGCTTCGATTTGTTTTCTTCAGTTTCAGCTGCTTCGTCCTCCGGGTTCGGCACCGAAAAAAGACCCAACCCGCCTAAGACGCCCGCCCAGCCGCCTAGCGCCCGCCCAGCCGTCTAGCCGCCCGCCTAGGCCCATTTTTTGGAGTCTAAAGCACAAGATGCCGAGGATAGACTCGAAACGGTTGCCTCTCAGGCTCAAAAGGTCATGCCCTGATGTACTCAATCCATCTTTGGTCTATGGCTATGAGTGTGTGATGTTGTTAGTGTGGTGTTCATTTTGCCATTGGCTTCTTTCTCTTTGCTTTCAGATGGCTGACATTGTTGCAGAACATTGGATTCAAATTCAACGCCTTGAGCAGGTTCATATTACACAAGTAAGTTTTTTCTGCTTGAAACTGGCTTCAGGTTCTTTATTTGCTAAATTCATAAGTTTTGCTGATTCACTAATATTTGCTAGTTTCTTCTTGGTTGGACTGCTTTTCATTCTTTTGATATTGCATTTTTGTTGTAGATTTTGACATTTGATCATGCCCTCTTGTTTGCTGAGAGAAAAAAAAGAAAAAAGAAGAAAGATTTGTCTCCTCCTCCTGTTGCGTAGGAACCCAAAACCAACCCACCAAAGAACAGAAAAGAAAAAAAAATTGAAATATTACACCACCTCAAGTGAAAAATCTAATTCATTTAAGCTTTTATATTTGTTCTTGTATTAGCATCTGTGTTTCTGTTGTGTGAACTCCACCTCAACTCCAAAGAAAACAAATTAAAAAAAATTAGAGGGTGCATTTGTTATGCATGGGTTGGGAATCTCTTAATTATATTTAACTTTTCAAATTGACTTTTAAAGCACCAGATTAACATACCAACATGAAATATCGTTTATCGAGCCTCCCTTAGTGTAAAAGGACTGTGACTTCATTAGCTGAAAATGCTTTAGAAGAAGGATTTACCTCGAGTTCATTGACATCCCTTTCACTATAAAAACCTGGCTTTTAAGGTTGAGGCAATGACCCATCGATTTTGAAGGATAGGAAAGATTATTCAGCAAACATCTCCAATTTTGAAGGATTCAAAAGGTGAAATTTTTTTAATCTGATCTCTTAACAATTTGTGTCTAATAATGGCTAATATGCTGTTAGAGAAACAGAGATAGAGGTGTGCATATCACTGTGCTGGTTGTAACATTTGGCTAATATGTACCTACAGGAACTATGAATATGTCTGTTTTCTAACTGTCCAGCATTCAGTCCCATATAGCATGGCTGGTCTAACAGATGTTCTATAAACTTAGCTTTCAATTCTAGCAAAATATGATGATCACACTATATATATGCTTAACAAAACCCTCCATTTTACCTATCATGCTTTGATTCTATGAGCCACATACTCTCCATTCTCCCCTTGTATATGGATGATTGAGTACATGCTAGATAGTGAAAGTTTTTGCTTTTTGATATACTCTTAGTGGTGCAATTGGTTGCTCTTATGTCTTTGTCAGAACCAAGGGCTCCTCTTGGTTAGCAGAATTCAAAGGAATATGGCTCCAGTGACCATCTAGTAGATGCAGCTTTGCCTGCTACTGAAGTCAAATAATCAGAACTGAGTATAAGGAATGGTACAAATAATCTTCACTATTATTATCAACAGTGTCTTCTGCATCACGATTCTCTTTCTTTGTTTTAATGGAAGTTTGTAACTCAAATTTGTGTTTCTTATAAAAAGAAAAATAATAAATTGCTCTTATTGTAGAGTTCATGCAATAGAATTGGGTTAGTAAAAGTGTTGAGACAGACTTGTTGTATCTACTCAGCTTTTTTTGTTCAAAATATTTTGGATGTGTTATTAAAAGTGTGAAGATAGCATTTTGTTCCTATGGTAAATGGATGCTATATGTGCAATGCTTATGATTTCTTATCTCAGTTATAGGAGAAACAAAGACTTCCGTAGCTTCTGGAAATGAGCATATTGGGGAGAAGCGATTCACGGATGTCTTATTAATTGGTAAAACTTCTTATAAGAAGATGGAGTCCAAAATAGTAAAGGAGCCACGCACAGTTCAACAATGAGGCACCCATCACCTATTTCCAGTCCAGGCAAGGGATATGACTTACAAATTATTATTTTACTTATTTTGGAACTGCAGAATTGGTTATACTTGTGCTTTTGAACATAATCATGCAGATGGTGAAGAAAGAGATCTCGTGAATATTTTTGCTAGTCTCAGTCTAAAGCCTTCGAATCTTCCTGCTCGAGATGCTCCTTGGAAGTGGGTAACTACTCCTTTTAAGATGTTACATATGTGTATTCTATCATGATTTCAACAAGTCATGTTGTGATTTGAATTAGAGTTAATATATTGTTTGGTATTAGAAGTTGATCAGAAAAATGTTGCTTGAGAATGTGTGGTTTTTTTGTTTTTTTGTTTTTTTTCAACTTAAATCTTCCAGTGGGATCGCTTTTGCATCCTATGTTGATGTTCAGAATGCACTGTTTTGTCATGGCTGCTGTTTTACATATTTACATTTATCAAGTTAATTAAGTGCTCTCAAAAGCTTCATTGATGTTTCTTTCTTTAGGGGAGGCTTCATCCTTGATGCAGCCACACCTGGAGAATTCATTGGTGGGTTAAAGACTACCATGTAATGCCAGGAACCAAGCCAAGCAAAAAAATATTAGAAACTCAGAGAGAATGAGAGGGGAAATTGGCTCTTTCCAACTAACAGGAACAAGACATTTTCCTTAAAGACTACCAATAGATTGATAGTATTCTCATGGTCAACAAGTACAAGAATTCCAGGGCTGCTCACCTTGAGTACACCAGATGAATCAGTGAGGGGTGTGTTTCTTTTAGTCTGCAATATATATGGAATGGTTGTGTTAGCGGTTTGGATTGGATCAGTTTCTAGCATTATGTTGACCAATTTAAGAATTAATCTGTTGTTAAATTTTTTTTAAAAAATTACAAGCGATTGTTTAAACTATAAAAAAAGAATGTTTTCTCAAACACACTACCAAAATGTCGTAAAATTTAAACCGCCTTTAGTTTGCAAATCAAGATTCTTTTTACATTGGGTTATATCTCGTTGTCTAGGTTGCCAATTTGTAGTTGAGCTGAGTGTCATTTGTTTCCACATGTCCTGTTGAGGGCATCTTTCGCAGTGACAAGTGTTTCCTTAATTTAGCCCCCACGTCCCAAATGATCTAGAAACGACCAATTTTTTATATTTTTTTTTATTACAAGAAATAAGCAATTTCATTCCTTCCTTTTGATGTGTTTCCCCCTTTTTCCGCCACTAGTCGCGTGATCTAAAGTGCTCAAAGCTTGCCACGACCTCACCTAATGCACGCAAATCCCATCCCTTCTGCTGCCACATGTCATTGCATAACGGGATTTAAAAGTCACCACTCCCACCTTGGATAAAAAAAATCAATTGAATATCAGAAACACAGACAACTTTTTTTTCTTCAACTGCTATAAGTATGCCTCCATCAACTTCATTGGTCCAAATATCCTTCACAAAAATCTCTCCCTTGAACCAATTTGAAGTTCTAAATAGCAATGGAATGGTCTCCTCAAGCTGCCTTGAAAGCTTACTTACACACTCTTCATCTGGTAATTTTCTATATACATTTAATATACATTGGTGGTGTGGAATTATTTTTCCTGTTTTGTAATTTTCTCCTTCATGTATCTTTGCTAACTGATTCACTTAAATTAATGCAGTGTAAGGTTGACAAAGATGAAGACTTGAGCCTTGGAAATCACACAACCGCTACCAGTATTATCATAGAGCCAAAATGCATGGAATTTATATCAGCTTTGGCAGCTGGAAAGCGAGCAAGATTAATCCTGCAAATCACCTCTCAAGGCATAACGCCAATGACAGTTTCACTGGCTGTGGCTGCAAAGCAAAGCGGAGGCCGACTAATTGTGTGGATTAACGGTCAGGATGTGGATCGTGTGGAGGAAATTAGCAAAACCCTGTTTGTGGAAAATGGTCTTGACGAGGTCATTGAATATGTTTATGGCACTGATCCTTGTATGCTGGTGAAGCAGTTGAAGAACATAGATTTTGCGGTTGTTGACTTCAAGTTAAAAGATCACTTGAAATTGTTGAAGATTATGAACTTTAACCCAAATGGGTGCGTAGTGGTAGGAACCAACGTTGATGACCCTGAGACTAAGAGGGATTTTGGGGGTCCAATGATTCTTGATCGAGTTTTTAAGGAGAAGAAAGGGTTTCGTTATGTGACTCTACCTTTAGGAGAAGGAATGGAGTTGACAAGATTTAGAGCCGTTGGCGATGGTGGCAAGTGCCATTGCCAGAGCAAGAGATACAAAAGATTTCATGTAACATTTGAAAATTGAAGCTCTTGTTTGTAGTTGTTATTTTTATTTTATATGTATGTACATATAGGGAAAACCTAATTTTTATGGTCACTTTCAAATTCAAGATATTATATTGGCAGCCCCGCCCGCCCCCCTCCACACCCTCCCACCGCCACCACAAACTCCTTGATAATTTCCAGCCCACCTTATTCCCCTCACCAGTGGCGGATCCACTAAAGGGAGAGTGAAGATTATTGCCTCTACTCATCCTTCTTCCCACCCATGAAGTTCTCAGAACCTCCATTAAAGCTCTCAGCGGTTCACGTTTACCCCATACACAGTGGATAATAAACATGTACTATTATCAACTCATAATCAATATGAATCTTACAACTATTCTCACAAGAGGTAAACACCTGCCGAGCTCAAACAGCTCCTACTGGGATGAAGTTACCGTTATTGATTTGCATAAATTGATCAAATAATTTCTAACTTTTTGTCTTCTGTTTTATACACGAACAAATCCATATCCTATTGAACGCCCAAAAGCACAAAATGAGTTCTCCAATCAAAGGGCTAAACACTAGGCTGAGCATTAAAATGGTCTGTCAGAGACAAGTTTAACTATCTCTAGAATGAACAAATCCACAGCAACCAGTAATGTAATTAAAACAGTTCCAATAAACTATTTAAAGAATAGATCCTGATAATGTAATAAAAGAGAGAGTCTATTGCAGGTTCATTTTTCACATATTGTGGCTACATAACTTATCATGTAAAGTTTATCAAATAAAATAAAACTACCAAGAAAAAGTTACCACATCAAATTCTTAAAACTTCTTTAGGATCATATCTTATCATCATTGTTCCAGGAAACAGTATCAATGAAGACCAAAAGATGCTAACTTATCCCAGGAAATTCATAATCACCAAGTGCAGCACCAAGTTGCAGAGAACAAAATCTGCAAAAGCCCGTTCTGGTGGTAAATCCTGCAGTTTTGCACACAAACACTGATCAGGACGAGGATGGAAGAGGATAGGTCAAGGTGGGCAAAACAACATTACCAACTTTGTCAATTCCTTAATACATGATGAAGAAAAGCCGTCGAAAACGAAAAAACTGGTTTAGAGTGCACAAACTTGGCACAATTCAAAATTTGTGAATCAGACAGAAGGACAAGGAAGAAACAGAGTTTACCTTAAAGTCTTTGTTTTCTTTGTTCACTTGAATACGGAGACAAACTGCAAAAGAAGTAATCAGTTTCCGAGTTAACCTTCTCATGTCTAATATGAACTAACAAAGAAAAAAACTTCATCGTTCCCTTACCAGCGAGGACTGCTGTCCCTGTACAAGAAAGTACTCCTGAGAGAAAAGAGTTAAATGGGAATGATCCGACGAGAGCCATGTAAACTACCTGTTCATCAACAAAGTAGATAACCAAATCAAAGATTAAAGAAACCATATCAAGTTGCAAGAAAGCTAGCTTCCACCATTTATGGGTTGTTATTGTAGTAGTTAATGCATCATGGCATCATAGCATCATTAGAAATAGGTAGAAGATTATGCTGCAGTGGGAGTGGAAAAAAGAGTGGACATGGCAATCAACAATGACAAAACATGGTAGCCAGACCGACCAGACCTGTTATTACAGAAAGAGAGGCTAAAGGCATTGATCCACGATATGTACCCCAACAAGGAGTCTTATATACCTTAACCTATGAAGAATGGACGCTCCAAGGTGGCCGTGTGTGTGTCAGACATGTGTAGACACCAACACTAGAACATCTTAAACACCTAATTATTAATATTTCTCCCTGGAGCTTCAGATCCGTTGTTATATTAAACCAAATGGAGCTTCAGAAACCTCTTAAAGGCAATTCCGTTAACAACATTTACCAAATAGATGCACGCACAATGGTGCCATGTGGAATGCAAAACTATGTACACAATCAAACCGGAAGGTATACAAACTAATGATAGAAAAGACTGAAGCTTGATAACAAACCAGATAACTATACATTTATATTTTAAAAAAAAGATAAGATTTTACTGATCCTAGCTATTCATATTGATCTAACTAAATAATAAGGGGTTCAAATGGAAAGGCAGTTCAAATTGCAAGCCTATCCAACACTCCAAGATGCTTTCCCTTCTCCTCCTTGGTTTTGTTTTTTACTTTTTCTTTTTAAACCACAATTAACAAAATAAATATATATTTTTTTAAAAGCCATTTTATTCTGTTTAAAACTTTCCCTGTGCTTTGTTCTTGTTCCCTGGGGTTTTGTTCTCCGTTAATGAAATATCATTTTCGACCAAAAAAAAAAAAATGAAAACCGATATGTTTGTCAATCCGAGAGACTATCAACTTACGTGATTTCAGATCAAACCAAAAGGAGATAAAATAAAGATCCATTTACTTAAGAATAAATCAAAATGGGGCATTTCAATTTTGCACCTTTGACAATTACCCAAAGTTTCTAGGCACCCAAATATAGCAAATTAGTATATATATAAACGGAGACAGGAAAATTGAGATCATGGAGTACCTGGATGAGAGCTGTGAACACAGCAAAACCAACATAGAGATCAATGATCTGCAAATTTATAAAAGAAATGACAAATTGGGTTAAGCATTTCTTCTCGTTATTTTGTGAATTCTTAGAGAGAGAAAGAGAGAGAAGAGAGAGACCTTGAGAGTGGTGGGAGTTGCAGAGTAAGCTGAGCGAAGAGAATCGAAGAGGACAAGGGCGTCCTTGGTCGTTGACGATGTCGATGCTTTCCCCATTTTTCTCTTCCTCTATACTTCACTCTTCTTCTTCTTCGTCTGCTGCTTTCTTTCAGTATTAGATCGATCTAATACTTGACCACTCTGGTCGACCAGACCTAATAGTTAAGGGTATTATAGTCATTTATAGTAAAAAATTTTTTTTTTTTTTTTTTCGCCGTTCTCATCGTTCGCAGTCTTGAGTGGCAGAAGCTTGAAGCTCTCTTGCTCCCTCTCCATCTCTCTTTGCCCCTCTCTCTCTACCTCTCTCTCCCCCTCTCTCTCGTCAGTAATTTTTAGGGCTGGGCATCTGGGGACTGCCCTCGCCGCCTCCTCTGGTCTCTGCGACTCCATCAGTCGAATTCTCGACTTCACACGCCACCGCACAGACGCACAACATTGGCTTATCTCCGATCGCTGCAATCGGGTAATTTTTACCATTGGAATAGAGCTATTGAACTTTAAATGAAAAAGGGTGTATCTAATTGTTATATATATATATATATATATATATATATATATATATAAAGGTATATCTAATTTGAGTTTCATGTCAATGTCTGCTTCTATATGGCTGCACATGTAGACTGATATAAGAATAAGAATTATTGGGATTTGGGGATTTGAGTACTTTTTGATTTCAAGCTTTCTGTTGAGTGATAAGTGCATCAGAGTCGTACCTAGAAATTGTTACAAATTTCTATCCTCAATCCCAATATGTGTTTCTCAGCAGTTTGAATAAGAATGTTATTGCCCTTACTGTTATTGAATCTAAAAAATGAGTCGGTTGTATTTAGTTAGCTCAGTGATTAGATTGTTTAGGAGTGAAGAAGAAACATTTTCGGAAGAACTAGAAATGGGATGGTACAAGCAGTAGGTTGTTAATTAAGCCCTCTCAAGCTATGAGCATGGTATGGGACACAAGATACTGATACATTGAAATGGAAAAATGATAAAGAAGGCATGTCAGTACTCTAATACTACTAGGTTGCTTCAATATGGCTTCACATGTTATAACACTTATAATGTGCAACTAACGTGAGATAAGTGCAGGATGATCTTCAACAAGTTAAAAACTTGAGCTATATTTAAGTGCTTCTGTTAATCTGCTTCTCTTGTAAATTTTCACTAAAATTCAGTTTTGTTTGCATAAATAGTATTGTTTGTCTTCCACACCAAGAAAGTTGATAAATTTTTAGTTGTCTTGCTGACCAAGAGAACAAAAGATTGTCTTCTATATGCAATATATTCTGAGTAATTCTTCCTTTTTTGTTGCCTTCTTTATACTTTTTCATGAGTTTCTTATTCTTCAGTTAAAACCTTCTTTTTGAACTATCAGTCAAACTAATGCCAGATACAATTTGGTCTGTCAAGGAATTTATCAAATTGAACTCGCTTATTGACTTTATCTTCTACTTTGCAACCAAAACAGGGGAGAGAATTCATCTAAAGAAATCTGCCCTAGTTGGATAGGAATTGCTTTCTTTTCAGTATCAGTTCAATCATGTTGGAAATCAGGAAAAAAAAGAAGAAGAAGATAGAAAGGATAGGGTGGGAATGTTAATCTTAAATTCTTATGCCTCAAAATGGTTTGGTGGTCTTTTCTTGTTCCTATATATTTATAACAATGCATGTTGACTCAATAGTTGCTTAATTAATAGGAAAAATACGAAGAAAAGAAAAAAAGAATAAGAAAAAAGCAACGAAAGTGACATCCAATGCAAAAGTTTCATGTCCAATTTTTGAACTTTGGTTGCCTGCAAACTGTGAATGAATGTTAAATGCGTGAGCTTGGCGATATGAACCTCACAACAATTTTTGCACTTTGGTTGTCTGCAGATTGTGAATGAATAGTTCTCTTGTAGCCTATATCCTCTTGCACTCTGCAGTGTGTGTTCTAATTCGCACGACATTACAACAACACATGCATGGGTGTGACTGCAGGCTCTGTGCTAAACCGTCTTCTTTGTGACAAAGGCCATCTAACCAAACCCTCAAATCCCACCACCGTTAAAGCCATCACCAGCACAATCCTCACTCACCTCGACTCTGGTATCTCCCGAAAGCCGTTTCAATCCTCTCTGCATCTCCATTTCCCTTCCAATTTTCTCTCTACACCCGTCTCTTCCAGCTCTGTTCCTCCAACCGTGCCATTCTTGAGGTCCGAAAGGTTGAGTCGCATTTGGTCACCTTCTCACCCATCCCGCCCATTTTTCTACTGAATCGTGCCATTGAGGCTTATGCGAAATGTGGGTCTTTGGGAGATGCGAGGGAGCTGTTCGAGGAAATGCCTCAAAGAGATGGTGGGTCTTGGAATGCATTGATAACAGCATACTCGCAAACTGGGAATCCTGAGGATGCCTTTGGCTTGTTCATAAAGATGAACAGGTTGGGTTTTTTGCCGAATGAGATTACATTTGCTAGTGTTCTTGGGTCGTGTGCTGCAGTTTTGGCGCTTTGGCTTTCGAGGCAAATTCATGCGGTTATTTTCAAGTATGGTTTCAATGGGAATGTGATTTTAGGGAGTTCACTTGTTGACATATATGGGAAATGTGGGGTTATGAGGGATGCCCGTGGAATATTTGATGAGATCCAGAATCCAAATGACATATCTTGGAATATAATTGTGAGGCGGTATCTCGAGATGGGTGAAGGAAAGGAGGCAATAATTATGTTTTTCCAGATGTTTGTGGCAGCTGTTAGGCCATTGAATTTCACCTTTTCTAGTGCTCTTGTTGCTTGTTCGAGTATTACTGCACTTGAAGAGGGAACGCAGATTCATGGAGCTGCAATTAAAATGGGTTTCGAAAATGATGAGGTTGTTTTGAGCTCCCTTATCGATATGTACGCCAAATGTGGGGAACTAGAGAATGCGTGTGCAATTTTTGACCAGCCCAAGTCGAAAAATTTGATTTCTGGGACTTCAATTGTTTCAGGATATGCAATGAGTGGACAGACATGGAAGGCAAGAGAGTTCTTCAATGAAATGCCTGAACGGAATGTGATAACTTGGAATGCAATGTTGGCTGGATACACTCATTATTTCCAGTGGGAAGAGGCTTTGAATTTTATATTCCTGATGGTGAACACAACAAAAAATATAGACCAAGTCACCCTTGGGTTAATCCTCAAGGTGTGTGCTGGCCTTTCGGATGTTGAAATGGGAAAACAGGTTCATGGATTCATTTACCGACATGGTTTCTGTTCCAATATCTTTGTTGGAAATGGCCTTCTTGACATGTATGGTAAATGTGGGAACTTGAAAAGTGCCAAAACAGTCTGGTTTCACCAAATTAGTCAATGCCGGGATAGAATTTCTTGGAATGCTTTGTTGAGTAGCTATGCTCGTCATGGCCGGAGTGAACTAGCTATGACAATATTTTGTGAGATGCAATTGGAGGAAACACCTGATGAGTATACGTTTGCAATTCTCCTGGCAGCTTGTGCAAATATTTTTGCACTTGAGCAAGGAAAACAAATTCATGGTTTCATGATCAGAAATGGTTATACAATGGATAGTGTGGTCAGAGGGGCATTAGTTGACATGTATTCCAAGTGTCGTTCTATTGAGTATGCTATCATGGTTTTCAAAGAGAGGGCTTCAAGAGATGTAATTCTGTGGAACTCCATGATTTTGGGATGCTGTCACAACTATAAGGGGAGAGAAGTACTTAAATGTTTTGGTTTGATGGAGGATGAAGGTATTAAGCCAGACCATGTAACATTTCGAGGTGTTTTACATGCTTGTACATATGAAGGTTTTGTTGAGTGGGGCAGGCAGTATTTTGATTCGATGACCAATGAGTACGGTATTATACCTAGGTTGGAGCACTATGAGTGCATGATTGAACTCTACAGCCAATGGGGGTACATGGATGAGCTTGAAGATTTTGTAAAGAATATGCCATTTGATCCTACAGTCCCAATGTTGACAAGAATCCTTGATGCTTGTAGAAGACATGGCTGCTTGAGATTGGGACAATGGGCTGCTCAAAGACTTAATGAGTAATCCTTCTAGTTCATAAGAGTTTCAGATTATGTACAGAGCCAGGCAGTGATTGCCAGCGTTGCAGTTTTGGAAGCGTAAACCACTACGTTGTCGTAAACGTTCTACATTGAATGAAATTTGTTTGACGTAATGGATGAAGGAGTACTCCAGAAAATTGAAGCAACAAAATTTGTTGGTCATGCGGAAATGATTATTTTTTCCACTCAACGTGTTCCTACGTCCACAACGACAACAGCAGGTAATAAATGATGATGATAGTGATCGGGCGGACACCCTTTCCCCAACTCTGATGTGCCAATTTTCTGTGCTTGCAAGTTGGAAAGACACCATTTTATTTGTCTTAGCAAATCAGGGTTCAGGATACACTGTTTTCCTCTTATTGTTGTATATTCTTCTATTTAATTTTTCTACTTCAATAATTTTTTAATATGATGCAGGAAGATGAAAAGGAGAATCGCAGAGGCTTTTCAAGCAGCCATATTCAAATAGTTTTCTTCAATTGAAGTACTGTTCTTTTATCTACCTGTTGAAAATATTTTACGATGAACATTTGTAAGGATACAAGTATAAACAACATTTGTTATGGGGTAAGCTGAAATGAACTCTTATTTCTGTTGCTTATTATTTCTGATGGTTTATTAGGGAAGTTGCTTCCTCATATCCTCATAGGATTATGTAAAGCATGGAGAGTGACTGCTCATACTACATTTCTTTTTTTAAATCTCATCTCATTTTGTCTCTAATGATAGTGGTTTATCATAATTGTGGGTGATGAGATCGAGATTAAGCTACAATAGAAAGGATAGTTACTTGATGCACGTCAGTTGACCATGGTTAAATTATAAAATGGGACTTATACCGCCACAAAAGAAATATTCCATTTCCGTTGAAAACTAGACTCAGCTTCATACACTCTTCTTGACTTGAGGTGCAGCAGAGAAGAGAAGCCATTACCAAGCAACCACAATGTTCAAAGGACCAACCAAGCAGATTTCCAGGTGATTATTTACAGTAGAGTTAATATTATTGATATGCCTTGTAATTATCTTCATAAAAGTGGGCTTCAATTCTATAAAATCAATATGTATATATATATTGTGCTTAGATGAAAGAAGTTAGAATTATGAATTTGAATTTGAATTTGAATTTGTACATTTGCATTGTATTAACCATAAAAAAGTTTAATATTTCTCAAATTTAATTAAGCAGATGCATGTTAAGGGTAAGTGTTGATCAGTCCACAACAATCCTAGTGGATGTATATGTGCTCAAGGGTAAGGTTATTTTCTTCACGCATATTGTACTGACATGTTTTTCTAATATTCTAATTTGATCATATAGCTTTTTGAATCTTCTGCTAAGTAGTGGAATCTTTCTCTTGCTAATGCTTGAAGGAAAATAATAAGAGTTTCTGCATTTTTGGTCTAACAGTGTGGCAGTCATCCTATACTATCTAGGGGTTGCTTATCTTGCTGCTTGAGCTTATTATATTATTCACAAAATAGATAGTTGTTCTCTTGCTTTTCCATATTCAAAATTATAAGCCAAAAATTCCTGCTCCAATTCCTTGATGATAAGCTCTCTTGCCCCTTTCTCAGATTGTCATAAGTAATTTTAATGTTACAAAAATTATCCAAAAAACGCATTCTGCTTCTTTGATAGTAATGCTTGAGTAGGATATGGTTTCAAATTTCTTCAACTGGAATTCCATTATGACAGTAGGTATGTGCTGATTATGCTTGTCTAGTCATACCCTGTAATGGTGAACCACTTTATCCACAACTAAGTGCTATTGTAATCATACAGCAGACAAGTTATCCAAACAAGGGAAAAGAACTTTCAATCGATAAACTATATAAATAAGGAAAAGATAAGGTAATAATCAGACCTAAAAAAGGAAAAGATAACACAATGACAACATGTGCAATTATAGTATTATACAGACAAGGAAAAGATAAGGTAAGAGAATAAGCCAAGAAAAGTACAGTAAATGACAAAGGGGTCTCGGAGCTGTGGACATGCAGGTTAGTGGTATGCAGTTCGATTCTCCACAGCACATGTGTGAGAATACCTCCCTCCTCCCTTCTAACTGTGTAAAAAGAAAAGGTATTTTGAGGGCTTTTCAATTATTTGCCTTTTTTTTTCCCTTTAATTAACCAGAAAGGTGGCGGGGTCGGATTTTAAAGTCTTCGATCGAGAGAATTATTGATTTATAAATATACACACATGCACACTCCTCGACACAGAGCATGCAAACCATGGGTTTCTGCAGTGTACTTCCATATCATCAGCTGTTTCAACCTATTTGTTTTCCTTCCCTTTCTACATTATCATTGCATTGGCTACATCAATCGGTGCATATTTTTTCATCCATTTACATGACCCTAAGAACTGGAAGGATTCTCCACCAGGACCTGTTGGATGGCCCATACTTGGGAGCCTTCCTCACCTCCTCAACAATCGCCTTCATGAGGACTTGTTTCATCTCTCTAGAATCCATGGCCCACTCTTTAGCCTGAAACTAGGTTTAAAGCCACAGGTCGTGATATTGTCACTGAAGATGGCAAGGAAGACCCTTAAGCAGCAGGAGTATGTTTTCTCCAGTCGTACCATCACGGAGGCCATCCAGGTCATTACATATGATACGGCCTCTGTTGTATATATGCTCTCATGGCTAGTGCACATTGGAGAGTAATTAGAAGAATCTTGATGGAACAGATCTTCTCTGCCAAGGCCTTTGAGCCTTTTGAACCAGTTCACAAGCAACAGGTTTTGTTAATTTTTTCAGGTAAAAACTGTATTCGTCTGTTAAAGAAAATGTTGATCAATATACAACATATGTAAAGGGAAAAATGAGCAGTCTTAATTGTTTGTTTCACTTGCTTGTAGGTTCATGGGTTTGCTCAAGCAGCTCTACTTACCTTCGATGATGAAAAATTCAGTGAACATTGCAGAGTTTGTTTCGTGGCCTCAGGCAACATTGTGAGTAACACAGTATGCAGTAAAAACCTTTTTGATAACACAAAAAAACAAAGGGAGAGAACTAAAACCTACAGTCTGGGAGTTAATGCAAATTCTTGGCTCTGTAAATGTTACTGATCTCATCTCAGTATTTAAGCCATTTGATCTTCAAGGCCTGAAACGGAGAATTTTTAAGATCTTTTGGAGATTATATGCGTTTTATGAAAACATTATCAAGGAGAGATTGGAAGAAAGGAAAATCAGAATCGGCAATATTGGGAAGGAAAGATTGGACTTGTTAGATGTGTTATTGGATTATAGAAGTGACAGAGATGATGAATTAAAAAGCTTATCAAGAAAGAACATTAAAGGCATGCTTGCGGTAAGTTATCTAGATATTAATCCCTGAACTTTGTACTTTCAGACTTTGTTTAAATATACTCTCAATGTTGAAAGAGATTCCAAGTTAGAATATCCCATACAGAAATTCTCAAAACATACACAGAATATAACGTGTACATCAGTTCAACAAACAAACCAATTCAGTCTAATTGAAACTAAGAACAAGTTTTGATTTTGTGTTTTTGCAGGAAATGTTCACAGGCACAGAGACTACCTCAAGCACTTTTGAGTGGGGTATGGCAGAGATCCAAAGAAAACCTGATGCATACAAGAAAATAGTTATGGAGTTGGACCAAGTAGTTGGGAAGGATCGGTTTGTTGAAGAGAGTGACATTTCCAATCTACCCTACCTTCAAGCAGCAGTGAAAGAGAGTGACATTTCCTCATAGCACGAATGAGGCGTGTGAGGTTTCCAGTTACCATATTCCTAAGGGCTGCATAGTGTTGGTGAATGGTTGGGGGATGGCTAGGGATCCCAGTGTTTGGGAAGACCCTTGTGAGTTTAAACCCGAAAGGTTTCTTGGGTCAAGCATTGATGTGAAAGGCCATGATTTTAACCTCATTCCTTTTGGGAGTGGAAAAAGATCTTGCATCGGATTGCCCCTTGTCCATCGCATGGGGCACTTTTACTTAGCAGCCCTGCTTCATGCTTTTGAATGGGAATTCCCTGCCGACATTTTGGACATTGTAGAAGAGAGAATGGGGCTTGCAATTCAAAAAGGAAAGACTCTCACTGGCATTCCTAAACCTAGATTGTCAGATTCTGCTTACCTCCACTGATCTCCTGTGCAAATATGTAAAAATATGTAATATTGGTAAGATGGAGTATGTCTCTACAATACTTCTATGCTAATGTAATTTAGAAATATACCATGAGTAATAATAATGCAATTAGTTTCACATGAACATAGACAAACTGCAAATGAGTTATCAGTTTCAGAGGTAATCACAATTACTGCCAATAAACAAAGACCAACACATAAAAGTTACGTAGTTACTGATGCCTACATAATATAGCCAATAACATTTGAATGCCGACTTATAGCCAGCTGATTGTGGGAATACTTTGCTGGCCATCTCTACATGACCAAATTCAACTGAACTTAAGAACGTCTAAGAACAAGAAGAAAAACAACTGCCTTCGCTGACTCAACCATGGAGTGCTGCTCTTCAAGTTTTTTACGATACAAGTTAAGGTGCTCGTCCACGATTTCGTCTCTGAATTGCTGCTTGAAGAGGCCCTCCAGGCTACCTCTGATTTGATATGCAAGTAGTTGAGGACTTTTATGGACTGTCACGTGCATGGACTTAGCTCAGCCCGTTGTGTAATTGGTAGAGCCTAGGCCACGATTTCTAGGCCGATGGGCACCCCAGCCCTGCCTGATATATAAGTTAATAAATAAAATAATTACCCATTAAATATTAACATTGATTATCATTGCATTTAATATTTTTATAAAAATAAACTAGTATTAATGATAACTGCATTTAATTAATTCAGTATAATTGCATTTAATTAATTATAATTGCATGTTTTTTGTTGAGAAAAAACGATTGTAATTATTGATGAAACATATCATTGTACAAAGCCACATGAGAACATATCCAGCGCCCAAACACAACAACATATTGATTTGATTCAGAGAGAATTATGCCTAAACCAACAACTACTCAACCCCCTAATTCAGAATCTCAAAGGACTTGTACTCCGACTTACAATACATCTCTATCGTGTAATGGCAGAAATGGCATATTTGAATTGCAGTCGAAAACTAGAATACAAAACACAGCAAACTCCTAAAGAGTTCCTGAGAATTAAAATAAAAAGTATAGCAAACTCCTAATGAGTAATATACTTAAAAAAAGAAACAGGAACATCGCTCCACATCCACAACGCCAAAGACATCCATAAAGCCATACGGGCTAAACCTTAGTGCAACATCGGCTAAACCCTAACCCACACAAACCTGTAACGTTCATTATTGTAACTCCAAACATTAAACTGGAGCCAAAACCCTATATATGTGGGCCAAAAGCGGCAATTAAATCATGGTGATAATAGTGTTTCACGGTGTTTGCTTCCACATCACATACGAACCAGCATAACAACCATTACTACCTCTACCGATGTCAATGCTGCCACTTTTGTTGGGATAGATAGCACCACCGGTAAATCTTATTATAGTCAAATTTCCGATGTGGGACTTATATTCTTTAACAAAAACGTCAAATATAAGACACAAATTAATATGATAGGTTCTTATTTGTTGTAAATAAATACGTATACAAATTACAATGAGACTAGGCAAAAAGTAATCAAAATATTGTCACATCAGTTGGTCTCCGAAAATTAATGTATAGTATGACTCTATTTGAACATACCTCACATAATTAACCTCAAGATGTCGAAACCTCACCAGCTCTATAGCACTACTAGATTGAGGCTTGACACACATTAAGCACGACTCGCTTTTATATGCGCTTTATTGTCTTCTTATTACGTATGTTAAGTTGGCATTAATTAAATAATCAACTTACCAATTATCCTTGAAAATATTTATTCTATACTGAGTTTGATTTGGTACCAATTCCTTGAAATTTGCTTTCAATTTCAGGCTTGCTTTTCTCTGTATTTTTTGGCTCCATCTTTATATGGCTATAGAATCAATATAATTCTGAAAGCATGCAACTTATGGCTATATAATCAAATATTAAACAATAAGTATATGACTATGGTCATTGTTTAAATGGATCGGAGTACGACTCAAGGCACCAACTTGTTATTTTAATGCCCGAGGAAAAGAAGTGCATGCTCTACAGCCTGTAGTTGCTTGCTTTGTCGAATCATGCCAAACAATTATTTGTGTTGTGAAACTTTTGTACTTCGGATTTAATATTCTGAAGTGCTTCATACTCAACTTCATCCTCTTGCTTTAGCTGTTCAGTAAATTAGATAGATGTTCTCTTGCCTTTTCGTATTCATAATTATAAGCTAAAACTTTCTTAAGGCTTATAATTAGTAGTCGACTAGTAATGCTTGAGTACGATATTTTATAATAGAATTTCTAATTTTTTTAAACTGGAAAAAAGAAATGTTATACCACTATCTAGTGGCGAACCACTTTATGCACAACTTAATAGTGCTATAGTAATGATACATAACAAGAAAAGTCAACAGATCTAGACAAACTAAGAAGGCAATTATACAAGTAAGGAAAGATAAGAGAATGACAACTTGCAATTATAGTATTATACAAACAGGGAATGGTAAGGTAAGAGAAAAAAAGTACACTCAGGAGTGGAATGTGAGGAGAGTGATTGATTTATAAATACACACAGGAACACAGCCAGAGATACACAGAGCATTCAAACCATGGATTTCCTGCAGCTTACTTCCATATCATCAGCTTTTTCAACCTGTTTGTTTTCCTTCCCTCTCTACATTATCATTGCATTGGCTACATCAATCGGTGCATATTTTATCATCCATTTCCAGGACTCTAAGAACTGGAAGGATTCTCCACCAGGACCTGTGGGATGGCCCATATTAGGGAGCCTTCCTCACTTCCTCAACAATCGCCTTCATGAGGACTTGTTTCATCTGTCCAGAATCCATGGCCCGCTCTTTAGCCTGAAACTAGGTTTAAAGCCAGTTGTCGTGATATCGTCGCCGGAGATGGCATGTAAGACCCTCAAGCAGCAGGAGGCTGTTTTCTCCAGTCGCACCGTCACCGAGGCCATCCGAGTCATTACATATGATACCGCTTCCATTGTATATGCTCCCATGGATAGTGCACGATGGAGAGTAATTAGAAAAATATTGATGGAAAAGCTCTTCTCTGCCAAGGCCTTTGAGGCTTTTGAACCAATTCGCAAGCAACAGGTTTGTTAATTTCTTACATGCATATATAACATCTGTAATGCTATTATTTTAATTAACCTAAAATGACATATGTGCACGTAAAGAAAATGTTGATAAAAAGATGTTTATGTAAAGAGAAATATGAACAGTCTTAATTGTTTCATTTGTTCGTTAGGTTCATGGGTTGCTCAAGGAGCTCTACTCAACCTCAATGTCGAGGAATTCGGTTAACATTGCAGAGTGGGCCTTCGTGGCCTCAGGCAACATTGTGAGCAACACAGTATGCAGTAAGAACCTTTTTGAGAACACAAAAAAGGAAGGGAGAGAGCTAAAACATACATTCTGGCAGTTAATGCAAATTCTTGGCTCTGTAAACGTTGCTGATCTCATCCCAGTACTCAAGCCATTTGATCCTCAAGGCCTGAAACGGAGAATATTGAAAATCTTTTGGAGATTAGATGCGTTTATGAAAATATCATCAAGGAGAGGTTGGAAGAAAGAAAAATCGGAATCGGCAATATTGGGAAGGAAAATTTGGACTTGTTAGATGTGTTATTGGATTATAGAAGTGACAGAGATGATGAATTAAAAAGCTTATCCAGAAAGAACATCAAGGGCATGCTTGCGGTAAGTTATCTAGACATTAATATCTAAACTTTGTACTTTCCCACTTCCGTTGAATATACTTTCAATGTTGGAAGAGATTCCAAGTTCGAATCCCCCATACAGTAAAATTCTCAAAACATATTACCCCCAATTTAACATGTAGATCAGTTCAACAAGCAAACCATAATTGATTCCAATTAAACCTAAGACCAACGTTTTTATTTTGGGTTTTCGCAGGAAATGTTTGTCGCAGGCACAGAGACTACCTCAAGCACTTTTGAGTGGGGAATGACAGAGATCCTAAGAAAACCTGATGCATACAAGAAAATAGTTATGGAGTTGGACCAAGTGGTTGGGAAGGATCGGTTTGTTGAAGAGAGTGACATCTCAAATCTACCCTACCTTCAAGCAGCAGTAAAAGAAGTTTTCCGGCTCCACCCTGCAGTCCCACTGCTCGTTCCTCGTAGCACGAATGAGGCGTGTGAGGTTTCCGGTTACCATATTCCTAAGGGCTGTATTGTGTTGGTGAATGTTTGGGGGATGGCTAGGGATCCCAGTGTTTGGGAAGACCCTTGTGAGTTTAAACCCGAAAGGTTTCTTGGGTCAAGCATTGATGTGAAAGGCCATGATTTTAACCTCATTCCTTTTGGGAGTGGGAAAAGGTCTTGCATCGGATTGCCCCTTGGCCATCGCATGGTGCACTTTTACTTAGCTGCACTGCTTCATGCTTTTGAGTGGGAATGCCCTGCTGAGATTGTCGACAATGTAGAAGAGAGAGTGGGGCTCACAATTCGAAAAGGAAAGCCTCTCATTGGCATTCCTAAACCTAGATTGTCAAATTCTGTTTACCTACCGTGATCTCTTGTGTAATTTATAATTATAAGTTCTTTGTTCACTTGAACATAGAGACAAACTGCAAAATAAGTAATGAGTTTCTAGAGTTAATCTCAATTACTGCCAATAAACAAAGACAAACACATAAAAGTTATTATTTGAAAGCATACTTATAGCCAGCTGATTATTCGAATACTCAGTTGGCCATCTCTACATGACCAAAACAGACTGAACTATTAAAAGCTGGATGTTAAAATCAATTTGCTGTGCGTCTAAGAACAACAAGAAAAACAACTGCCTTCCCTGACTCAACCATGGACTGCTGCTCTTCAAGTTTTTCACCATACAATTCAAAAAGCTCGTCCAAGATTTCGTCTCCGAATTGCTGCTTGAAGAGTCCCTCCAAGCTAGCTCTGATTTGAGATGCAAGTAATTGAGGATTTTTATAGACAGTGTCATGTGCAAAGAAATTATCCAAATTTTCCCTTCTTTCTATGCTGAAGCATCCATTTCGTTCTACAGCACTTTCAAGTTCTTTGGAAGACATCAAATAATTAGGTATGTTAAATGAATCTACTTTCTCTTCATCAACAACTCCCTGCATGCATAAAGTGAAAAAATACATAAAGCAGCTAAAGGATGTCTTGAACAAACCAATACAAAGCGACAATAGATAACAATCAAATATAATTACATCTTACTTCACTATTTTAAAACCATACAAATAAGAGAAAATAGAGCAACCCTCCCCAGGAAAAATCACTATTTAAAAAAGAATGAAAATAATAAAGACAATTTGCTTACCTTCCTAGCCAAGTCCATGAGGCAAGATCCTAAGATTTGATAGATCACATTTGGCAGAGTATGAGAATGGGGGGTACCATCTGGGCGGCCAGGAATGAAAAATACCATGAGTCCTCCACTCACAATCTCTTGAGCCCTGGCATGCAGGAAGCGCTCCATGTCCTCTGCGTTCTGTGCTTCGTAAGCACTCACTACTTCATCCGAGGCATCTGAGTAAAAGATTCGCCCTTTATTCCACGCAGGACCGTTACCATCCATTACTGCTTTTGGAACTTGAGACATCCATGGAATGGCAAAAGCAGAGTGAAAAAGGTTAATGGAAGCATCAGGAAATAGCCTGCCATAGAAGGAACCTGGTACACCCGCGGCATAGTATTGCCTGTTGCTTGGGAGGGATCTGAAGAGCTTGTTAAAATCATTTGCAGTAATATCATTAAAGAAAACTTGAAATTCAAGGGTTTGGGAATTCAGCCCTTGGCTTTTATACTTCAACTGCACAGCTTCAATTATGTTCTCAGCAGAAAAAAACGAATTGGGCCCAACAGCGCAACCCAAATCTGCAATGCGAAAGGTCTTGGAAGATAACAAGATTTCCATGTCAAGCTTTTCTTCAATTGCCTTGCTTATAAATTCTTTGGCAGCAGCCACAGCTCCTCTCTGCATAAGAAGAAATGTTCATGTTACATTTAATTGAATCCAGAGGGGATTCAAATCTTTAATTTTGATTTCTCTACTACAAACCTATATCTTTTTCTTTTCTTTTTTTATAAAAAATACAAGCTATATATTGGGGAGCGGGGAATCAAAACTAGGACACCTAGGACACATGGGTAAATGCTCGTTGACCACACAACAGGGGATCCATGAATTTTTATAGGGGTAGTAAATTTTTTATTATTTTAGAGGAGATATATTATAAGTCTTTTTTCTCTTGAAACAAAAATGTAAATAAAATTTTATAAATCAAACAAAGTCATATTACGAGCAAATATAACACAAAGAAGTACAAAATATAAATAAATAACAAATCAAACACATTGTCCAACATGAAGCAATACTAGAAATGATATCCGGTCTATTTGCCGGTCTATTATCATCATGTGACGATTAGAAGCTCATCAAACACATTGTCCAACATCTTTACTCTCTATTGGTGTAGCCCAATATCAGTACGATTAGAATAGCTCAAGTTGGTAGAGCCCTAGCGTGAGTTCTGCTTCTAATCAAATTTATAAATGTTTGGATTGATGTTTATTATTTCCTATATGTTTCAGGAGTGGGCTTATTTTAAATAGATGATTGAGCTATTATTTACTTTACTTAGATTGGGCTATTATTAGTTTATTTAAAAAAGAAAAACAATGCATGTATGAGCTATATTTATTTGGTGCAGCGGGCTAATATTTATTGGAATAGGAATAAGCCTATAAAATTTAGACCATGTTCAATATTTTATAAATGTTTCCCTAAGCTGGAGCCCACTCCAACCTAGGCTTAGATCCATCCTTGTAACCACATGAGCTACAAACTCCTTTGCTACACACACCTATATCTAACACAAAAAATTATTATTATCTTTGTAGGTAAAAAACTGAAAAACAATGTTTACATGTTTAGCGATCACTAATTACTAATTCTAAAGAGAATAAAATAAGATGAAATCATTACTGCAGCACCCAAATCGGTTCTTTCTTATATATGTATGGCTCCTAAAATTAAAACATTCTTGTAAGTTACTAGCCAAGTAAATCAGAGGCTTGTACATAGTAGCTAGAGAAGAAACTAACCTGGTAAACAGAGTTGACGGCATAGCTGCTGGGTCCATCTCCACCTCTCACTGGATAAGCTGCACAGTGTTGATCATTGGTTTCCTCTGCTCTTGCCATATCTCTCTCTCCCTATCGGTCTGTTGGGGTGTGGAGGTTGAGGTTTTTTTTCTTAATTTATGTCTAACTACTACTGAGGAAGTGCTAGGCGACGCTAATCAATGGCAGACGTCGAAGAATGTGATATGTCATGAACTGTGTTGAGAACGCTCTAGACTTGTTATCAAATGAGCAGATTAGGATGTATAAATACGTTTAGTATGTGGTTGGTTAGTCTGAATGCAATATCATATGGAGAAAAATGCATTGATTATATTCAAATGGTTTAGTTTAGGTTCATGTATTACTATTCATTGTGGTTGCAAGGGATGATAACAGGGCGAGACAGGATCGAATTTGCCTTCCCATTTCCATTCTTACAAAAAATTTCTATTTTTATCTTGGTCCCATCCCCTATGGAGAGTTTCCAAATGAGCAGATTAGGATGTACAAAATTTCTACCTTTTTTAGTAAATTTAGGTTTTAGCCACAAAAAAACTTTCATTTTTGGAAAAAGTCAAAATTTTTCTGAAAAAGACAGAAAAACCACTCAACTTTCAAACAAAAACATGCAAATGTAAAAAATTCCTTAAGAAATTCAAAAATGAATAAGGGCATTTTTGTCCATTTTGGCTTCTTTTAAAAATATTTTTCTTGCCTTTGGCCTTTTCCAAAATTTCCCCTTTTTTAAAGGTATTTGGGTGGGTTGTGGGTTGTGCGTTTTTTCTTTTTCTCGGTGATGTCTTAGGCATTGGCGGTTCAGCTGAGTTTTGTTTAGGGTTTGTTTGCTATCTTGGCCTTGGTTTGGGCTTGTGTGGGCTTAAAGCCTGTTGGGCTTTAAGCTTGTAGCTATTTCTTTTGCATTTTATTTGGGGCTCTAGCCTTTTTGCTTTGTTGCTGAGCTCAGTTAGTTGGGTCTTACTTTTTTATCTTATTTTATTATTTTAGAAAAAGTGATGGTAATTATTGATGAAACATATCATAGTACAAAGCCACAAAAGAGCTAAATGGGTACAACATCTCTTGTGACCAAACACAATAATATGTTGATATGATTTGGAGAGAATTACGTCTAAACCAACAAATACTCAACCCTCTGATTAAGCATATCGAAATACTCATACTTAGACTAACAATATATCTCCATTGCGCAACAACAGAAACGACATATTTGTATTGCAGTCGAAAACTAGAATACAAAACACAACAAACTCATAAAGAGTTCCTAAGAATTAAAATAAGAAGTACAACAAACTCCTAATGAGTAATATACTTCAAATAAGAAACAAGAACACCACTCCACATCCTCTCTGGCAACCAAAGAATTCCATAAATGTCATACTAGCTAAACCCCACCCAACAAAAACCGATAACTTTCATTATTGTAACTCCCAACACTGAACTGGAGCCAAAACCTTGTGTCTGCTTCCACATCACATGCGAACCAACATAGCAACCGTTACTACCTCTACTGATGTCGACGCCATCACCTCTGCCAAGATAGCACTATCGGTAACTCTTATTACAGCCAAGCAAAAGAAACCAAACCAAAAAAAAACCTGCAACTAGAAACAAGAAAAACAAAAAACAAAACCAAGATCCATGGGAAAGGAAAGGGAAGGAAATAAGAGAAGAAAAAAAAAAGGAGGATACAGAAAGAGAGAAGGGTTGAGAGGGAAGGGAGAGGAGGAAGATTGGGGCAAGATAGATAGGAGGTTAGGGGAGGAGAGGCAAGACCACCTCCCACCAACACCCACCCAACAACCCCCCCCCCCCCCCCCCCCCCCCCCCCCCTCTTTCTCTCCTGTGCGGAGCTAAAGGGTGGGAGGGCTAGGGTTTTTCTGGTTTTTTTTTTTCCTAAAGAATCTATCCTCCAATTCTATTCATCAACGAATGAAGCGATAAAGTTCAAATCTTATATAACAACTCCCATAATAAACACGATAACCTCTCCTTCCATTGCTTGCATTTTCTAGATCACTTATTGCGACATCAAGACACCTCTTACATTCTATGTGCAACAGGTCAGTAGTGCATTGAGTAGCACCGTAAAGCACTTCATCACCCATAAGTTTCAAGTGCCCTTGAGCCAAAAAAAGGTCCAATAAGAGTAGATTGCAAACACAATCAGTTTAAAAGTTATTGGACATTCATATTAAACAACAATGGAGCATGAACCGATTCCGTATTCCACACAAAAATCCCATTATCATTGTCGCTTCTACCTAAGAATTTTTTGCTTGAGTATTTTAAGAAGCAATTATTTTACCAAATTATAGCTCCTGATTGTTGAGGGCAGCACGTTCTAAGTTCTAACCTGTTGACTTGCTTTATGGATGCAGCTTATGCATGATATGCGGTGACGTTCTGCTACGACGAATCCCCAACACTTGGCGAGCCCATATAAAGTTTGATTCTGTTATTCTCTGCCTTTGAATACAATTGCATTTCTTGTAGGAGGAATTGCGTCAAGAAATTTTTTCGTTATTGCCTCAAAGTTGTCCTCATACGCTTCCTTGTTTGGAAATTCTATCTCCCCAAAACATTTATGTCCTAAATAACAATGTCTAACTTGAGCTTGGACGAGAGACGAAAAAGATAAGAGACTTAGAAGGATTGATAGTTTTAAGAAAACCATGTTCAATTAATAGGATAGAACTTGAATACAACTTTTGTAAAACAAATGCATATATAAGAAACTTGAAATTATAATAGAAATGCATAGTTTATATCATATTTATAGTAGCCTTAATCTTAGTAGTATCGATATTTATATAGAGTGCTGCTAAACGAACCCTAAAATTAACTAAGTACAAAATGTAAAATTTACTAAGTACACCCTCATAATATCACACAACATCCTAATATCAATCCTAACCGAGGTTACTATTACTTTACGATCATTGGTTGCATCTTGAATTCCAGCCACGCCATTATCCACATTACCATTTGTATATGTTTTTGTTGATTCCGCAATAAGCTTTCTTATAAGTTTATATCCTCTCCGTCTGACAATGTTTATAAGGTCATTCCAATTAACCATTTGTTAATGAATATATGTATTATATATTTATATGAAATATATATAATATTAAAGCTAAATTTCTCGTTGCTACTAAGGCCAAAATTTCTTTAAAAAAAAGAAAAAATATGGCAACAAGCAATCATCAATTGATAAATTAGTAATTCAATAAATAGTTTGGTAAAGGGTGTACTCAGTTAATTTTAGGGTTCATTAGCAAAACTTTTATATATTCTAATCTTTTTTTTGTACATTAGCTTTGCATTATATAATGATTCTTTTCCTTTCGTTTAATGTTGTATATAATTGTAAATTGCATTATATACTAAAGAATGTTTTGCTCAACTCATGAAAAAAATAGCCATATAAAAATTGATTTTTAAATTCAATTATATATATGCACATATGCGGGCACAACAACAAAAAATTAGTCGAGAAAAAAAAGGCAAGGATATTAAATAAGTTTGAAGGTTTGCACAAGTTGATCGGGTACTACTGTATTCTACCTTTGAATCTTAGAAGTATATGGATATATTTTTTATTCTAACACATTAGAAGCTTCTATACATTAGTTTTTGCATTATATAATTATTATTTCCCGTCAATTTAATAGTATAAAGAGTAAATCACATTTTCTACTAAAAATGTTTTGCTAAACTTATGAGAAGAAGAGCCATAGAGAAACTAAATTTTAAATCCAATTACATATACATATATGTACAAATGCGAGAACAACAGTGAAAAAAATCATCACTTTTAAACTCTTTGAGCTAGGTCAAAAGTGGTGCATGAGAATGGAGAAAAAAGGCAAGGATTATAATAAGTTTAAAGATGTATTCCCTTTTAATATAAACATAAAAATATATACCAGGGACGTGAAGCTCAGATACCATGTAAAGAAACGTGAATGAGATTCGGTGTATGTTGAGTTGATACAATACAAGGACTTTTAAGAAAGGAAGATTCACTATAATAGCCTAAACTATCTACTTTCATAGTACACAATCAGATACAAAAAGAAAGGCTAACATGAGTTGACTATATCATATTGTTTCCTAAATTGCCTTCCTTAACATAATTTGAGTTTGTGTAAGGGTTTGTAAATCATCAATAGCTCATCTATGCATCTGAAAATAGGGCCCTTGACCCGAAATTAAATGAATTGCGTGATAGAGAAGATGAATATATGATTGGATAAGTTTTGATTGATGTAGAGGTTGAGAATCCATAGTAAGTTTGACAATTTTAACCCTCAAATTAATGGCAATATTGACGGAGTTAGACGGTAGGACCAATTTGCACCATTATAAAAGTTAAGGGACCATTAGAAAGAAAAATTTAGTTAAGGAACCAAAATGCAATCCGTGGACATTTTCAGAGACCATTTGAATTGAAAACGATTCTTTATTTTTAGCCAAATTCTTGTAGGTTGCTTCACAAATGGATAAACTTGTCCTCCCCATTTTCATTAAAAGGTGTGTGGTAGCAACACTCTCAAATCCATAATCAGAAAGAAGTAGCCAAGTAACCCATCCACAAAGGAAAGATGCGCATGAGCTACAACAAGTAGATGAGTGAAACGACAACGTTGTGGACTAATGATGTATGATAAAGAGTCATTTTTGGTCCCTGTGGTTTATCATTTTTATCACTAAGGTCCTTGTGGTTTCCATTTCATCAATTTTGCCCATGTAGTTTTAATTCCAAACAATTTAAGGATAATTCACTAGTTCTGTCAAATTATTGTAAGTGCATTACTTATCGAATACATGTCCTTCACGTGGAGGGGCATTTAGGTCCAATCATTGACAAAATAAAATAAGAGAAACAAACACGACTACCAGTCTCACACTTACTTTTAAAATATTCAAATTTTGGAGTATAGCCGCGCGGTTATACTCTATACTTTTAAATTTTCTATTTATAGTGTATGGTCATACGGTTATACTCTTTAAAGAAAGAAACATTGTAAGTTGAGTATAAGCAACATACCATGTCTATACAACAAGAAACATAAATAGTATACAATAATACTAAACATACTCATGTCTATACAATATATATTATTTATAGACATGGTATGTTTAGAGAGAGAGCCAAATTACAGTTAAGGATAAGACTATCCACGAAATTATTCGAATTAATATTATTCTTCTGACTCTTATAATACCCCAACAAGTTGGGCCCATGTTTCATAAGTAACGGCAGTTACAATTTTTTGACAGAAATTAAGAATTATCCTTAAATTGCTTGGAATTGAAATCACACGGTCAAAATTGACGAAATAAAAAAAACCATCTTCGATTTTTTGTGACTCACGTGCACTGTGCACATGGGCTGGCAAACCCAAGAAGTTGGGCACACTTGGTCGTCATTCTCATCTTTGTTTCCTCTCTCCTTGTTTTTGGCAGTTCTTCTACTTCTACGCTACAGGTATAATATGCTTTTCCCGTTTGATTTCTTTATTTTATTTTGTGGGTATCTTTGTAATTCTGAATACTTATTATATCATCCCGTTCTTGATTTGTATTTGCTCAAAATTGTCGCAAAAATCATCAAATTACTAACAAAATTGAACAAGTTAGCTTCTGGAGACTTTGTTCCCAACATTTCGTATGTATTTCCAATTTTCTATTGCGCCCTAGAGATGTTCATCACTGTTTGTTTCCCTTACTAATCACATCTTTTAATTTAGTCCCGAGTCTAACTGAAAATGGCGTTATGTCATGACAAGAAAGTTAGGTCTTTTCCATGTGTTCTTTGTTTAGTTGCTCCAGTTTAATCACATTTTCGTCTCTCGATATTACGCGGGATATAATCTATAATGTGTTTCCTTTCCTCTGAATGTATGCGCATCTGAATCAAATCAAGGGCAGAACTTATCTGCACTTGGAATTGCTGAAGGCTACATTTTGTTCTCATGCTCACTACCTGTATGAGGAAAGTCCTCCATGGATTGAATCATGGAGTGAGAGGGAAAAAGTAATTTTAAAATGCATACGAACCATGATATCTTTACAATCAATCTTGCTGTACTTGTATATTTCTGATTAAGTCATTACTCGGATTTCTTGCTGCTTGTTTTGAAGCAATGTTATGCAAAACATGGCTTTGTTAGTTTAATCCAACACCAATTTGAATTTTCCAACGCTTGTATTGGTTGTATCTGGCTATCAACTTTTGAGTTGTTGTGTTTGTGATAGTAGGGCTTTGTGATAGGAGGTTTTTTCTTGGGTGATTTTTTTTTTTTTTTTTTTTTTTTATTTTCTTATATAAATATACTAATTTATGTTTCTATACAGAAGAAACAACGAAGTCAAAATATTTCCATAACGTTTTGAGGTTCTTCTGAAAAGCAAATCTGGTGCCAAACAAAAGAAGATGCTATGGGAGCCTCCAGAGGACCAAGGCTTTCTGGGATGCAGAAACAAGTCCTTAGTCTATACAGAGGGTTTCTTAGGGCAGCCCGTGCAAAATCTGCTGAAGATCGACAGCAGATTGAGTCACTTGTGTCAAGTGAGTTCCGCCGCAATGCCAAGGAAGTAGACCGCAAAAATTTCCTTTACATTGAGTACTTGCTTCGCCGCGCTAAGAAACAGCTTGATCAGCTCAGGAGCCCCGATATTGTTGGATTATCAGCCCTGAATGTCAGTTTTTCGCAGACAAAACATCCTACAAATTGAAGTAAGAATTTCATCTATTCTTATTTACTTGTCGAGCCAAATTTAGTTTGATCCATTGTTTAAACAGAGAAACAGAGGAAAATAAATTTTTGGCTGAAATTTCCATGTTACTATAAAATCTCAATGTAAGCTATTCAGAAAGCTCTAAATTGTGCGATTCATTGATGGTCATGGTCTTCTAAGGCTATGTGTATTGATTATCTTCCAGATAATGATAATAATAGCTTATTGGTCTTTGTTGATAGTTAAAGTCCTGTTTTCTGTGTTGCTTATTGTTCGTTAGACGATAAAAAAAGACCAATGATTGATTTGAAACAAGTTGCGATAGAAAATTGTGGTTTGTTTGATGGGAATGTTAAGCAAATATTACTTTCGAAGACTGATCAATAAAAGGATACATAGAAATATAATTCGAAGTTGCACTTAACAAACTTGAAATATAAAAAATATCTTGCGAATGTGCCTCCCCATTGCCCCCAACTTAATGGCTCACTAAAGCAAGACCCAAAAAACAAAAATGCAACAAACTAAGAAATGGAGAAGACAATAAAACCCAGAAGAGCAAACAAGGAAAAGAACCCAACAAGATGGTATGGCCATAAAACAGAACAGGAACCCAAATTCAACCTCGACAACCAGGAACTAAAACCTCAAGCAAAGAATGCTCATTGCTCAAAAGCATCTTTAATACAATTAAAGCAGTCCATTGTACCAAAGAAAATGGTATTGAAGCAAACCATTGCTTTCTTACTATGAGCTTATTATTTTCATGCGATATAAAAGAGGATTTGCTTATATTTCCCAATCTTCCATCTAGTATAACTGATATATCTGTCTTATAAGTGAGACAAATAATATGCAAATGTGGGTTAAGTCAGTTGGCTAATGCAATAAGCTGGGCCCTTTGCACCTAAGTTTGAATCCCCCTACCCGTAAATTAGATTAATTTAGAGACGATTATTGCTTGTATTGAAAGATATCATTGATAAGGGTACCACATGCATGAGCAGCAGAGTGGGGCTAGATTTGCAAGCTTGCTCCACAAGACCATTCGCTTTCCAAACCATTGGAACAGAGGTCGATTTGCAAGGTGGCTCCACAAAACCAGACACAACCCAAAGTATCTTTGGTATAGGACTCGATTTACAAGGTGGCTCCACAAAACCATTCACATTCCAAAGCATAGGGGTCGATTTGCAAGCTGCCTCCACAAAGCCATTCACATTCCAAAGAAACTTTGGTATAGGGGTCAAATTGGCAAAAAAGTTACAGAAAATCACAAAAACCATCAAAGACATTACAGAGAGGAATCAAAGATACGATATTGATCCCATAGAAGGAACAAGTTCAGATGACATTCAAAAATGGGTGAAAAACCAAGCAGAGTCTTCCCTTTTTATTAAGGAAGAAGAACTTGTGGGCATTGAAGACAAGAAGCAAATATTTATGGGATGGCTGATGAACAGAGAGCAACAACAAGCGGTTATCTCTGTGGTCGGGATGGGAGGATCAGGGAAGACAACTCTAGTTGCAAAAACCTTCATTGAAAGTGTGAAGGGGCATTTCAGCTGTTATGCGTGGATTACGGTTTCCCAAAGTTATGTGATTGAAGATTTGTTTAGAAGCTTGATCAAGGAAGTCCACCAAGCAACGAAGGAAGAGGTCCCTGCAGCTGCAGACTTAAATTCCATGAGCTATAGGGAATTGCTACATATACTCGTAACCTACTTGGAGTCTAAAAGGTACCTAGTTGTATTGGATGACGTGTGGGATATAAAACTTTTGAAAGAAATGAGGATAGCACTTCCAAATAGACAGCTTGGAAGTCGAATCATGCTTACTACTCGAAAAGAAGACATAGCCTTCTATTCTTTGGGAGTAGAAAGCCATGTTCATCGTATTCAACCGTTGGAAAAGAATGAGGCTTGGGAGCTCTTCAGCAAGAAAGCATTCTCAACTTACCAAAATAAACGTTGTCCACCAGAGCTTGAATCATCAGCTTGGGAACTTTTGGGGAAATGCAAAGGCCTACCCCTAGCAATCGTAGCTTTAGGTGGTCTTATGTCTTCCAAGGAGTCATCTATGGAGTGGAGAAAAGTCTGCAACAGCATAAATTGGCATCTAATAAATGATCATTTCCTAGAACCTGTGAAGACAATCTTGTTTCTCAGTTTCAACTATTTGCCATATCAACTGAAACATTGCTTCCTATATTGTTCAATTTTCCCAGAAGATTATTTGATTCGAGCAGAAAGGCTTATTAGATTGGGGATAGCTGAAGGCTTCGTTGAACATGTTGAAGGGGTCACACTGGAAGAAGTTTCTGAGAGCTATCTTATGGAACTCAATTTTCGTAGCATGTTGCAGGTTATAAGGTGTCCAACTATAAGATAAGCATGTAAGATGCACGATCTTGTGAGGGAGCTTGCTTTGTCCACATTAGAAAAAGAAAAGTTTTGTGTTGTCTATGATGGAAGAGAAGTAATGGAAGAAATCAGAGCTCGTCGTTTGTCAATTCAAACATCTGAAGGAGAAATTAAAGTATGCAAAGGTATGTCGCAGCTTCGTTTCATTTCATGTGTTTGTCATTGGTGTATTCTCGCCATCTATTTCAAGTACATTGCTTTCTCAATTCAAATTGTTGAGGATTCTAGATTTGGAGGATGTACCAATTGAAGAACTGCCTGATGGTCTTATGTACTTATTCAACTTCAGATATTTAAGTTTGAGTAGAACTTCAATTAAAAAACTTCCGGAATCCACCATAGGACAGCTTTGCAATCTTATAACCTTAGACATCAGCGACACAGAGATTGATACACTTCTTTAAGAAATTGCCCAGTTGGTAAACCTACGCCATCTAATTATGTATCGATACAGTGGAGCATCTTGGAAATTTAGATATGCTAAAGGGATTAAAGCACCATTAAATATTTGTATGTTGAAAAAATTGCAAGTTTTGTCATTTGTTGAGTCAGACTCAGAAGGAAACATTATTAAACTTGTTGGGAACATGACCCAACTTACTCACATTGGCATTACAAATGTAAAAGGAAGTAATGAGATGAACCTTTGTGCTTCAATTCAAAAGATGAAGCTCTTTCGCTACCTGTATTTATTGGTAACAAGTGAAGAGGAATTTCTTTGAATCGATGCACTTGCTTCTCTTCCAGGTCCTCCGCCACACCTTCGAAGGCTTCTTTTGAGCGGCAAACTAGCAACTGTACCAAGTTGGTTTGCTTCACTCAGGAGCCTCACAGGTATCAGTCTACGTTGGTCTAGACTTAAAGAAGATCTACTACCACACATTGAAGCACTGCCCTGTCTTAGAAGGCTTATCCTTGTTAATGCCTATGTTGGGAATGAGTTGTGCTTCAAAATAGGCTTTGCAAAGCTCACACATCTGGAGTTGCTTAATTTCTCCTTCTTGAAAAATATAACAATAAAAGAAGGTGTGATGCCGAAACTCCAGTTGTTAGTATACTTCATTGCTGCATGAACTTAAAGGCATTACCACATGGTCTTGAATTCCTTCGGAGTCTAGAAACATTGAGATTGGGGTCTGTTCCAATGAAAATTATAGAAAATATACAAGAAGGAGGCGTGGATCATCCAAAGGTACAACACATCCGCGAAATTGACCAAATTTACGAAACATCATCTGCGACTTCTTCTGCAAGGTGAAAGCTCGCCCCATGATTCTTTCCCCACACTGTAAGTTTCTGTCCTTCCATTGACTTTCCAAAGCTTAATCATTTTAGATCCTTTACAAGTCTGTTATATGTGCATTCATTTTATTTTGATTATGGTATTTGCACTGTCTTGTCATATCCCTTTAAAGACTCAAATTGGAGAAGTGCAAAGATAAATTTGTGTGAAGATGCAACAACAAACACTACTAGTCAAGAGCTAATAATTCTGGATTTCTGATTCTACCATCAAGTTCCTTCAACCTGTGGTATCTTTGTAATTACTAATCATATTCTGCTGCTTTGGTAAAACCATCAGAGTTCTACAAGATTCTTAAATAATTTAATGATTCCTTCACAGAACCATATTCATTCAACTTGCTTATTTTGTTCTCTGCTTCTTGCTAACTTATTTGGAAATGGAGTAGGCATGGAGTAGGCATTGTTATTATACTCTGATGATGTTGAAAAAGTCTTCAAATTAGTAGCAGAATGAATTGTCAATTGCTCACAAATCATATTAAAACCTTAAATTCATAACTCAATTTAAAAGGCAATATATTTTAATAGAAGGATGGGAGTGGACTTATACTTGCGAACTTCCACTAAATATGTCTTGCTTTTTTCAGGCTATCAGGCAAGAATGAGAATGGAATTAGCAATGATGGTCTTGCAAAAAAATTTCCTCAACTATGTTATTTTGATAAAACAAATTTAAACGGAATACAAGCAAGTTCATGTTTTTCCCCATACAATTATACGTGTTCTATGGTTGTTAAAAGTTTTCCAGAGCAGCAGAAGATGATTAGCAATGTACAAGTATAGGAAACTCTCAAAATCAAATTGAGCATTAGATCCTGATTACTGGTTCGTCCTTCTTGCCATCAAGAGGCTTAAGACAAGGTGATCCCCTGTCGCCCTACCTCTTCCTTTTGGTGTGAGAAGCGCTTTCATGTAATCTGACCAAGCTGGTGCAAGATGGTGTCATTACTAGCATCCGAGTATCTAGGCGAGCTCCAATTCTGTCTCATCTCTTCTTTGCAGATGACTCGCTATTTTTTGTTAACGCTAAGGAAGAAAACTGCTCTAGATTAAAGGGTCTACTAGGTGATTACTGTCTTGCATCTGGTCAGGTAATTAATTATGAGAAATCTAGTCTTTTGTTCAGTGCTAACACTCCTGAGGATGTCAAGTCGAATACAAGCTCGATTATGGGTATTAGAGGGATTGATAACTCTGGTATTTATTTGGGCATTCCAATGACTTGGGGACGGTCCAAGAAAGTGGCGTTAGCCTATATCCGCGAGCGTGTGGCGAAGAAGATAATGGGGTGGAAACAAGGCACATTATCAATGGCGGGAAAGGAAGTTTTGATCAAGGCCATTGCCACTGCTGTCCCAGCTTATCCTATGATGTGTTTTAAATTCCCCAAGGTGGTGTGCAATGAGATCAGTAGCGATATTGCGAAATTCTGGTGGGGAAAATCAAAAGGCGGCAACGGCATACACTGGAAATCCTGGAAGGCTTTGTGTTTGGCGAAAGGTGATGGGGGTCTTGGCTTTAGAGACCTTGCAGAATTTAATCTGGCTCTACTTGCCAAACAGAGTTGGAGAATCATCTCTACTCCTAATGCCTTATGGGTTCGAATTCTAAAAGCGAGGTACTATCCTGATTGTGAGTTTAAGGATGCCGTTTTAGGTCACAGACCATCTTGGATATGGACGAGTATTCTAGAGGGAAGAGATGCTTTAATGGGCAGGGCCAGAGTTCAGATCATGAATGGTGCAGATACAAATATTTGGGGTGACAATTGGATTCCTGATAATGGCATTATTACACCAATCACTCACGTTCCTTCTAATGCTCCACAAATGGTTTAAGATATTATCAATATGCAGAATCGAACTTGGAGTTTGGATAGGGTGGGTAGTTATCTGAGTTGGGAAACTCAAAAGCAGATTCTTGCCATCCCCATTGGTCCTTCAGGTCAGCGGGATAAGCTTGTTTGGCCCTGGACTTCGAACGGTCTATATTCAGTAAAATCCGGATATCATTGTTTGCAGTCGGCTCACCGTTACTTAGCATCTGGGAGTTCGCATTCTTCTCATTTCATCTCAAATCGAATATGGAAAGCTGTTTGGAGTGTTCGCACCCTGCCTAAGATACGCATGTTCTTATGGAGATGTATGTCCAACGCTATTCCAACGCGAGTCAATTTATTCAGGAGGAAAATTATTGCCTCTCCTATGTGCGGCCTCTGCGATCAATACGAAGAATCCATTGAACTTGCTCTATTTCTTTGCCCCTGGGCTCAAGTTGTGTGGTTTGGATCTCCAATCACGTTAAGAATTCATACTCAAAGTTTTAGCACTCTGGATGTTTGGCTGAATAATATCCTGGACTTGAGAACTGAATCAAAAATGGAAAATCATGATCTGCTCACTATGCTAAGCTTCTTTCTTTGGGAAATATGGAAGACCAGATGCAAAGCTATCATGGAAGGTTGTAGAATTGATCCATGCAAAGTGGTTGAAACAGCAAGTAAGGCAAAGGTGGAATTTCAGAAAGTGTGGCAAGGTAATGCAAATTGTGTAACGAGCCGTTCCCCTTCAATTGGCGAGGTCTGCTCATGGGAGCCCCCGCCAATGGGTTTTGTTAAAGTTAATATTGATGGGAGTTGGCAAAGCAATGGTAGAAAAGCTGGTGTTGGAGTGGTAATTCGAAATTCAGTTGGGGAGTTTTTAGGAGGCTTGGCTGCATCACGAGTGGGTCACTCTGCTCTTGAGGTGGAGGCTGAAGCAGCTGTCATGGGGCTGTTGCTTGCGGCCAATCTTGGCTATAGTGATGTCTACGTAGAATCTGACTCAAAGACCCTTGTGGACGGGATCAAAGGGGATATAAGGAACCGTGCCTGGACTATCAGGCCTTATATAGAGGTTATCTGGCGTAGAGCTGATCAGTTCAGAAGTGTTTTTTGGCGTTGGGTTCAAAGGAGTTCAAATCAAGCAACTCATGAGGCTGCAGCAATAGGTTGCCGAGCAGTGGAGCTGGAAAGCTGGGTTACTCAACCACCGCTGTCTCTTATGCATGTTTTGGTGTCTGATGGTCTTCCAGGTCCTCCTTAATTTTTGTTTTTAGAGTAGGAGTTTTCCTTCTTTTGCTGGATTGTAGCGATTCAGATGCAGGAGATTCTGTAGTTGTCTCAGTTTCTGCTTTCTGTGTATTTCCTTGCAGTTGCCTTTTGGCTTGGAATCTACTTCATGGTTGACCAAAAAAAAAAATAGCAAACACACTCACGAATCAAATTACATAAGATTCCATAGTCTCAAAGCAAAAATCACTAATGATCAAATGGCTTCAAATGAAACTTGAGATAGTGATGGAAAATAATTAAGATTTGCAGCCTCACACAAGAAAGCAAGGGTTCTTCTAGGCGCAACTGGGTAAAATCTTTCCGTCACAGACTAGATTCTGCATGGCAAACAACAAAAGTGAAATGATAATCAAACAGAATTTCAATACAAAATTCTTGTGCTATCGAAACTAACTATTGCTTACTTAGTATTTAGTCTATGGGCAAAAATACATGGCCTTAACAAACTTGTGGATGACAACAGTATGTACCAGAATAGTTTATATGATGCAAGATTACGAAACTCAAGGCATATATAAAAAGTGAAAAAGGAAAATGAGGAGACCAAAAAAATATATATAATTAAAACCTTACATACCTCCTTCCAAAACAACTAGGACAAGCTTTCACAACGCATTCCCAATGACGTTTGGTAATAATGGTAGATCTCAGGGATGTGTTGTACCCTTTCACGATCCACACCTCCTTCTCGTATGGAATCCTTAAGTTCCTTTGATGCAACATACAAGTTCAATACTTTTAGTTCAGTGAGGTATTGAAGACCCTGTGGCATTGTGTTTAGTTCTGGGCAGTTTTCAAGGCATAAGAATTGGAGATTTGACATCACCCCTTTTTCTATAGTTACCTTGTTCAATAAGGGGCAAGTAGCCAAATACATTTTTGTAAGCTTTGCAAAGCCTCTGCTGAAACATAACTCTCTGCCAGCATATGCATTATTAAGCATAAGATATCCCAGATTGGGCAGTGCTTCAATGTAAGGTAGCAAATCTTCTTCAATTCTAGACCAATGCAGATACAATTTTGTGAGGCTCTGGAGTGAAAAGAACCAACGTGGTACCTTTTCCAATTTGCCAATCAAACCAACAGTTTGAAGGTGGGGAGGGGGTGAGCATAGTGCGTTTGTTTGAAGAACTTCCTCTTCATCGCTTGACACTAGAAAAAAGTAGTGAAGTTGCTTCATCTTTTGAATTGAGGCACATAGGTCCATCTCGTCTCTTTCTTTTACATTCATAATTCCAATCGTTCTAAGTTGGGTCATATTACCCACAAGTCTAACAATGTTTCCTTCTAATTCAACACCCGTCAAAACTTGCAATTTCTTCAACATACATATATTTGATGGTGATCTTGTCCCATTCAGACATCTGAAGCTCGTAGTCTCTCCGGTGTCATGATACATTATTAGATGACGCAAGTTTTGCAACTTGGCAATTCCACTTGGAAGTACCTCTATTTTTGAGTCACTGATATCCAAAGTTTGAAGGTTGCGGAGGTTTCCAATGGATTCAGGAAGCTTCTTAACTGGAGTTCCCCTTAAATTTAAGTATCTTAAATTGAATAAGTACGCAAGTTCTTTTGGCAGTATATCAATTGGAACATATTGCAAATCTAGCACCCTCAACAATTTGAATCCAGAAGGCAATATATTCGAGGAAGAGGATGAGGACACGTCAGAAACAAACACAAGAAAAGAACGAAGTTGTGCCATACCAGTGCCTAATTTAATTTCTCCTCCAGTGGTTTGAATTGACAAGCGGCGCACTTGAACTTCGTCCATAACTTCTTTTCCATCATATACAGCACCGAACTTTTCTTTTTCTGATTTAGACAGAGCAAGCTCCCTCATAAGGTCGTGCATCTTACATGCTTTTGGCCTTCCACTTTCATTCCTCTGAACAACCTGTAGCATGCTACGGAAAATGAGCTGCATAAGATAGCTCTCAGCAACTTCTTCTGGTGTGGTGCCTTTTCCATCTTGAACAAACCCTTCAGCTATCCACAACCTAATGAGCTTCTTTCTTCGAATCAAATAGTCTTCTGGGAAAAGGGAACAGTATAGAAAACAGTGCTTTAATGGGTATGCTAAATCATCAAAACTAAGAGATAAGATGTTCTCCACTCGCTCTAACAACGGGATAGTTAAATGCAAGTTTAAGCTGTTGTTGACTTGCTCCCACTCGAATGGCTTCTTGGAGGACATCAGACCACCTAAAGCCACGATTGCCAGAGGTAGGCCTTCACACTTTTCTACAACTTCCTCAGCCAATGATTGAAGTTCTGGTGGACAACAGTTATTCTGGTAAGCTGAGAATGCTTTGCTGCTGAATAGCTCCCAAGCATCATTCTTTTCGAGGAGTTGAATGTGGTGAATATGACTTTGTGCTCCAAAAGAAGAGGATGCTACGTCTTCTTTTCGAGTGGTTAGCATGATTCGACTTCCAAGCTGTGTATTTGGGAGTGCTATCCTAATTTCTTTCCAAAGTTTGATATCCCACACATCATCCAATACAACCATGTACCTTTTAGACTCCAAGTAATTGACCAGCACCTCTACCAATTCTCTATATGTCATGGAATTCATGTCTGCAGGGACCTTTTCCTTGTTTGCTTCGTGGAATTCCTTAATCAAGCTTCTAAACAGGTCGTCAATCACATAAGTTTGTGAAATAGTTACCCAAGCACAACAGTGGAATTGTTTCTTGACCCTTTCGTCGTTGAAGGTCTTGGCAACTAAAGTCGTCTTCCCTGATCCGCCCATCCCCACCACAGAGAGAAGCGTTTGCTGTTGCTTTCCATTCATCAACCAATTGATCAATAGTTGCTTCTTTCTTTCAATCCCCACGAGCTCATCTTCCTTAATAAAAAGAGAAGATTCCGCTTGGTTCCGCATCCATTTGCTAACATCATCACAAGTACTACTTGTTCCTTCTAATCCACCGACACCATATCTCTGATTCCTATCCGGAATGGCTTTAATCATTCTTGAGATTTTCCGCAACTTCTTTGACATTTGACGTCTGAACCAAACATTCCGTGGAATGTGAATAGTTTGGTGGAACCACCTTGCAAATCGACCATCATGACATCCTCGCTTATACATGTGATACATGAACTCGTCAATGATGTCTTCAACATCATAGGCCATGCCTCTGACGCTTGCAACCCACGTCCTCCCGCCTTCGCTGCGTACATTCTTGCCCTCAGCATCATTGAGGAAGGCCGTCATGCTTACAAGCTCCTGCTTGATGTCATCAATTTCATCACGAACACCGGCTATGGAGGATGCTTCGTTCTCAAATATGGTCACAATTTTGCCAATCAAGAGGTCTGTTGGCAAGGCCATAACTGGCCTTGTATCCAAACTAGTTGCTCACAATGGTAGAACGAATTTGAATATAGGAAAGGTTGAAAGATGAGCCAAATGAATCAAGTGACGATTTCAGCTGGCAGTGGAAGCTCCTCCAATTTGCAAGAAATTTCAGTGACTTGAAATTGTATCAGTGGAAGCTCCCTCCTTTTTTTTTCTCCATATTTGTTTTTCTTCCTCTCTCCACTCCATCTCTCAAATTCTCAACCAGCCATGTGATGTGAGAGTACCATACTATTTTACAACCAGCCATTTAAAAAAGGGAGTTTCACTAAAACACCCAAAATAGGGGTAGAAATTATAAAAAAACCCAAGCACTATTTAAACATATAAATACACCCAAAACCCATCATTACACACACTCAAAATGTAACACCCCGACCCCAAATTTATCCCATGTTTTAATTTATTTAAGTGGAATTAAGAAATTACCCGTGGGATAGGGGTATTTTAGTCATTTTCTTATCCGGAAGGAATTTGGGAATTTCGGTTGTACCGTTGCGTAGAGCACGGTGAGATGAGTCCGTAGACACGTAGTGGGCTCGAATCGGAGTTGTAATGGGAGAGATTTGATCAAATGAAGCTCAGTGGCATAATCGTAAATATTTTGAAGTGGGATTTTTGGTTAAAAGACGGAATTGCCCCCGTCTCTCACTCACTCTCTCTCTCCCGCGCGTCCCTCTCTCTCTCCTCTGGTTCGCGACCGCCACCACAGCCGGCCACGTTTTGGCTGGCCGTTCATTCGTCCGGCCACCACTCGGGTTGGGACCGGTCCCAAAATGACCGGCCTGACTCCGCCGTCCTACCCCACCTATTCTCCGATGTCAGCCGGCAGCGATACCGCCGGAAATTGCAGAAAATCGGCCGGTTTTTACCCAGATTTTCCGGAGCTCGTTCCGGCGATTCCGGCCACCAAATCTTGCGATCAAGGTATGCTTTCTCACCTATTTTCCGTGATCTAGCTGATGGTTGGGTAGGATTGTATCGATTTTGAGCGTAGGAGGTCTGATCTTCGAATTGGATTTCGGCCGGATTTCGAGCAGAGATTCCGGCCACTTCCGGTCAGATTTTGGGGTATGCCCAAGAACAAAAGTGGCTCAGAATATGGTTTTACATCGAGGATAGGAAGCTTGGCCGGCGGTTTGGAGTTTTCCGGCCGCCAGAAATTACTTAAGGCACCCATGCGCTGCCGGCGCGTGTGGCGGCGCGTGGGCTAGGAAAATGGACCGGCTTGAGGTTCTAAAATGATCTCCTGGTTATCACAGGCGCGTAGGATTTCGCGGATCTCAATTTGGATATTGTTAGAGTCCCGAACGGATATCGCATATCGCGTATTTTCCGGGTTCGCTGGGTTTGGACCGTTGGATGGTCCTGATATTATTATATGTTGATCTAGGTATTACCAGGATCGTGTAGGATTCGACGGATCGTAAAACGGAGTCCCGGATACTCCAGAAATGCCAACCCTGGGGTTAGGGTTTAAGTAACTGTCCGATTGTGCGATCGTGAGCAATCCGACCGTCCGATCTGGACCAAACTTGCAGGACATGTGTCCTAGAGCTTGTAGAACCTCTAGGAACTTTCGGATCGGAATTTGGAGGTTGTGGGCCCCGCAGGCCTGTTTGACCCTAGGTTGACCGTGAGACTTCCGAGATAGTCTTACCTTTATTTGAGGGTTAGAATGACCTTAGTGACAGGTCTTGAGCGTTGTTGAGTTAAATGGATATTGTGGGTTTAGAAGATAAATTGGTGAATTTAAATGTGGGAGTTTATGGAATGTTTTATTGGTTGATGTTATTGTAGGATTAGAAATTATTTGATATATTTAATTAATTGTGTGGATGTATAATGATATATAAGGAGATTGAATGTTAGTTTACAGTGCTATACGCACTACCCCACATACCCCCCATATTGTGATTATGTTGAGGCCCAAGTGATAGTAAGATGGCTGGTGAGAATGTAGCCAGGCCCAGTGTGAGGTCGCACGCGTCTTTGGATTAGCCGGCGTGTTGACAGACCCCGTACGTGGCCGGGTGCGTCCCGACGTATGAGTGGGAGATATGATGGTATGATGGCTGGTGAGAATGTAGCCAGGCCCAGTGTGAGGTCGCACGCGTCTTTGGATTAGCCGGCGTGTTGACAGACCCCGTACGTGGCCGGGTGCGTCCCGACGTATGAGTGGGAGATATGATGGTATGATGGCTGGTGAGAATGTAGCCAGGCCCAGTGTGAGGTCGCACGCGTCTTTGGATTAGCCGGCGTGTTGACAGACCCCGTACGTGGCCGGGTGCGTCCGTGGGAGATGAGAATGTAGGAGAACAGTATGATGGCTGGTGAGAATGTAGCCAGGCCCAGTCGCACGCGTCTTTGGATTAGCCGGCGTGTAGACAGACCCCATACGAGGCCGGGTGCGTCCCGTCGTATGAGGGGAGCTATGTGATTATGTTGGGTGTGTTGTGATGGGTAAACCCGAGAATGTATGAATTTATATGGATGTGATGGTTTAATTGATATCAGGAGCCAGGATTGATAGGAAAGAGCTACGTGTGGCTTGATCCCTTAGTAGGGTACGTAGGCAGCCTGGGATAGCGCCTAGGTGCAGCCACGGCCTAGACACCACTTAGGTGGTTTTATCGGTATGATGCGGACCCCGTGGTTGGTCCCGAAACTTGGTTGAATTGAGGCTTGTCTGGTGACTGAGTGAGTGAAGGTGTGTATGGATGGATTTCGAATTGGATTTGTGCATGTGTGATGCATGGAGTTATTTTAAAAGCAGTGTGAGTAGTTCTGCTAGAATCATTTGAAGGCCGGAGGCCATTTATGTCAATTGCATGAGATTATATTGTGCGTGTTGCTGGTTGGGTTATAAAATGTGTTTTATGCAGGTGGAAATTTTGGGGAATGTTCAATTTACAGGGGAGACTCTGCCGAAATTTGGGCAGAAAGTCTCGTGCCCTAAATCCTCTCTGGTAAAAGAGGACATAGTTTTAAGGAGTGAACCCGGCGTGGGTGTGATGCCGGGGTCTCCGCAGGGTTCGTCTCGGATTCCGGGAAATTCGGGGCGGGTCCTGTCACAAAACCCATTTATAAACACACCCAAAAGTTGACTTTGGGATTGATTTTGGATGTGTTTCTATGTTTAAATAGTGCTTGGGTTTTTTTATAAATACATGTCTAGGATTGAGTTTATTTATAAATTTGTATTTAAAAAACAGCTGTAAACAGCTGTAAAGGTGAACGTGATTTACGGAGAGAGCCTAAAGTGGTCAGTGCTCAAAACAAAAAAAGGTCAAAATAATCGAAAGTTGCGTCAGTGCTCAGAACCATATTCATTCACTTTGCTCATTTTTTTTGTTTCTTGATAAATTATTTGGAAATGGAGTAGGCAGGTTTTCATTTTCTCCCTGATCTCACCATTCCACCTGCCTTGCATTATATTATATACTCTCATGTTATTTATCTATCTGGTAGCAAATGTTGAAAAAGTCTTCAAATTTTGTAGCAAAGAATGAATTGTCAATTGCTCACAAATCATATTAAAAGCTTAAACTCATTACTCAATTTAAAAGGCAATATATTTTAAAAGAAGCAGCTCATTACATGCTTGGAAGTTGGAAGGATGGAGTGGACTTGTGTGTTAGAGAATCCCAACAAATATTTAACCCACCCACATGTCTCACATAGTAATACAAGTCAAGGAATATTTGCAATTTGGTGTGATTAAGAAAAGATTTCTAATTTCTTTAATGGGTTATTTACACAAACACCCTCCATGAGGGTTCAAAAATTATAACAACACCCTTTAGGAATGAGTTGTGTTAATTTAATTGACAATCATATTTCAGTTTCGCTGTAATATCTGTTGCAGAATCAAATTATAGAAAAACGGCGCAAAGATCACTTTTTGCGTAGATGGAACTACTGATCTTCTTTTCTTGCTTCTTGTTAATCAAAGCCGCCATGTTGATAATGTTGAAGACTGAAGGTTTTTCACCCAAGCAGCCATACGTTGTGCTGTATGAACTTTATTTTTTGTTTGATGGGGTGGTGTTTTATTTATTTATGCATTTTAACAGATGGGGTGTTGTTTTACTCAGTAGCGACGTTTTTGTATCCTTCCAGAGATTGTTGACAAATATCTGGTCAGGCGAGAAGACAAGTTCTTTATGTAATTGTAGCAATTAATTGTATTTGTTTTGTGAATTTTCATATCCTGGTAAGATATAACATCCGGCCAATAATGCTAGAATGAATTGTCAACGTACCTCATTCTCATACAGAGCAGTGCGCCAAATAGATCTCAATTCATATATGGTGGTCCTTGTTTAAGTCGGATTAAATAAATGTTAAAGACAAACACTAGAACATAAGCGACTAATTAGTTAATAAGTTAATACGATGTCGGCCGCTTTTTTGGACCCTCTCAACAATTTTTTATATGAATCCATCATTTTATAAGTCATTATTGAAAGATAATCCTTACAAAAAATACTCACTTATATTGATAAATGAGACAATGTTGTTGACAAACAATAAAATGTTTAAGGCAATGATAAAATGCCTAGACGGTTTCAGATGATTTTAGAATGAGGAGCAAAAACTGTTTCAACACACAAGCAATGTCGCAGTCGCAAATAAACCAAACGTGAGCCAACTCCATGACTAAATCAACAGTAGGTAATTGTGATTTTAGAAACTGTAGAAGGTAGAACAACACATTAAACAGATGGTGACGACACACTTCCATGATATAAATATTAGAACTTGGTGTAATAATAGACTTACAAAATATTAGAAGTAGGGCACACTTGGTCGTCATTCTCATCTTTGTTTCCTCTCTCCTTGTTTTTGGCAGTTCTTCTACTTCTACGCTACAGGTATTATATGCTTTTCCCGTTTGATTTCTTTATTTTATTTTGTGGGTATCTTTGTAATTCTGAATACTTATTATATCATCCCATTCTTGGTTTGTATTTGCTCAAAATTGTCGCAAAAATCATCAATTTACTAACAAAATTGAACAAGTTAGCTTTTGGGTGTTACTTAAATGTTGTTAGATTGTTGATTTGGGAGACTTTGTTCCCAACATTCCATGTGTATTTCCAATTTTCTATTGCGCCCTAGAGATGTTCATCACTGTTTGTTTCCCTTACTAATCACATCTTTTAATTTAGTCCCTAGTCTAACTGAAAATGGCGTTATGTTATGACAAGAAAGTTAGGTCTTTTCCATGTGTTCTTTGTTTAGTTGCTCGAGTTTAATCACATTTTCGTCTCTCGATATTACGCGGGTCATAATTGTTCGTTAGACGATAAATAAAGACCAATGATTGATTTGAGACAAGTTGCGATAGAAGATTGTGGTTTGTTTGATGGGAATGGGAATGGTAAGCAAATATTACTTTCGAAGACTGATCAGTAAAAGTATACATAGAAATATAATTCAAAGTTGCATTTGGTATTAACAAACTTGAAATAAAAAAATATCCTGCGAATGTGCCTCCCCATTGTCCCCAACTTAATGCCTCACTACAGCAAGACCCAAAAAACAAAACTGCAACGAACTAATAAATGGAGAAAATAAAACCCAGAAGAGCAAACAAGGAAAAGAACCCAACAGGATGGTATGGCCATAGAACAGAACAGGAACCCAAACTCAACCTCGACAACCAGGAACTAAAACCTCAAGTATCTTGATTACAATTAAAGCAAATCCATTGTATCAAAAGAAAATGGTATTGAAGCAAACCATTGCTTTTCTTACTATGAGCTTATTATTTTCATGCCATATAAAAGAGGATTTGCTTTACTGCCCAATCTTCCATCTAGTATAACTGATATATCTGTCTTATAAATCGAGACAAATAATATGCAAATGTGGGTTAAGTCAGTTGGCCAATGCAATAAGCTGGACCCGTTGCGACCAATTTCGAATCCCCCTCCCCATAAACTAGATTAATTTAGAGATGATTATTGCTTGTATTTAAAAAAAAATAGAAACATATATATAGAAGTTTACCAGTTTTGATCTCTCTTTTGCATTTTCTTTCTCAATTTTAATTTGGTAGTTTATTTATTTCATCAACTTCATCCCATAAGCCATTAACCTAAAGAAATGAACTTTATGCGACTTCCTTTCACTCTTCCCCTAACGTGTGCTGCCTTCTAGACTATGAAGGATGCTGCATTTTAGGTTCAGATTAATCAAAGTCTAACACCACATATACATGCTCTGTTTATTTAATTGGGTAGCAGAAATCTTCCTTTAATGGGGAGCAAACTTATATAAATAATTATATATATGACAGCACTCCTATTCAAAGGCAAATATATTTTAATAGAAGTTGGAAGGAGGGAGTGGACTTACATGCATATGACAAAGTACACAGAGTTTGTTCACATTTTCACTACATCACTTGCTTCTGAGTTCAAAGAACCCAAGATATATTTAATCACCCACTTGTCAGTCTGACATAGTAATGTAAGTGAGGGAACATTTGCAATGTGGTGTGATTAAGAAAAGATTTCCAATTTCTTTCATTTATGGAGCACCAGAATCCCCTACAAAGTTGAAATGGTCACTGAAATTATTTTGGATTCTGATGTAGTTATGTCACTCTCTACTCTAATTTTAGAATGTTATCTATTGATTTCCATTTAATTATGTTTTCAAGTCTATTCTATGTCTTGATTTACCACACCAGAAATTCTCTCACAAAATTTTCTTAGAGAATTGGTAAGGGCAATTCCATTTCTGATCTTATGATTTTATGATTAAGAAGATACAGTAGAAGAGCAAATATGGCCTCAGCTGCAACCGATCTCTTGATTGGCAAAGTTGTAGGCATTCTTGAGAGCGAGGCATCCTCCATAGTAGGTGTTCGTGATCAAGTTGATGAGATTAAGCAAGAGCTTATAAGCATGAAATCTGTTGACGCAGAAAAATGGTTCTGCACTTTCCCGCGCAACTTAGTGATTAAGTCTCTTCGGTATCTGATGTCCTCGGTAGGGTGTGCGATCTGTAAGATAGCAAACACACGGTAAATCCTAGGGCACCGGTGTGGTACTGGCCGAAGGCTCTCCGATGCTTAAGTAAGTACGGATTTAGTAAGTTTTAACTGCAGATCAATAGGCAGTATGCCGTAAGTTCTGATTGATTACCTTCAGGCTGGGATAGGTGTCCTCTTTTATAGGCCTTGGGAGGTGTGCAATTTGTTTAGAGTTTCGATGTGGGACTCTGGGCGTCAATCGTGGAGCTGCCACGTGCCAGAGTGGGCAAGGTTGCCCTAATGTTGTGATCGGTAGGTGAAGTACCGAAGGCGAGTGCCGAAGGCACACGTAGCCCTGGCCTAGTCCATGTGGTTGATGTTCATTGGGTGTTCATTTTGGTATAAACAGGAGTCCCCCAAGTCCCCTTGCGAGTGTCTTCGGAAGGGGATTTGAATTCGTCCTCGGGAGGAAACACGGCCTTACCGTTCGGTAACCCCACTGGGGGAGGGGCAAAAACTTGTTCCTTCCGGCATGACCAGCTCAGAGGCTGACGTTGGTGAAGTCAGAAGGTCGCGTCGATCTGATGGGCGAAGAGACGTCTGAGCGCCTCGACTTCCGCGCCTCGCGTGCCGTCAGTTCTCCATTGGGTGAGTGACACGTGGCGAAAGTAATGATGGCGCGCGGCGCATTAATGCGCCGTTTGGTTTTTCGAGGAGTACCGTTGCCAGCCATTTCCCCTATAAATAGGGATGACCCCGGATGCGCACTCACTTTGCATCTTGTGAGAAGTGAGAGCTCTGTCTGAGGCGATTTCCGACGAGGGCTTTCGGTAGACAGGCGATTTCCGGTGAGTGTTATCGGTAACAAGGCGATCTCCGGCGTTTCGAACGGTAGGAAAGGCGATTCCCGGCATTGCGAACGGTGGTGAAGCATCCCGAAGAGCAGATCGCGCTTATCTTCCAAGGCACACTTTAAGGTACCGTTCGGCACCCTTCTCTTTACATGTTTTTAGGGTTACGTCCTTCCTTGGTTCGAACTAGACTGACCATAGGGTTCCATTCGGTAGTCTAGTCGCCATAGGTAGTGATGTAGGAATCGGTAGGATAGCATCCGGCATGAGCCTTAGTTTCCCTTCTTCCTGTTTTTGTAGATGTCTGATAGCGAGTCATATTCCGAGCGCGAGCCCAACGCTTTCGACGAGGAGTCATCGGACGGTCTCTTTGACTCCGATGGTGAAGCGGCAGGGCCTGGTGCCGAGGGCGGGAGTGATACCGACGTCGAGATACTCGGCGAAGGGCCCAGCTCTATCCCGACGCACGGAATCGGAAAGGGACTGATGACCGCTCCCATTCCGTTGTCCATCGTCTACAGTGACGGCCGCCACGTGGGCCTCGGTATGCCCGGGGAGGCGAGCGGTAGCCGTCAATCGGACGCCTCCACTTCCGGTCGTGGAGAGTCGGTAGCCAATCCGCCATCTGGGCCCAGGGTATCGGTAGTGTACCCAAGCAATCCCAGGGTGCCCATGGGGGTGCCGAAGGAAAACTTATTCGGCGTGGACTATCTGGGGCCGAACAAGATTACCGATCGGGAGATCGCCAAGCTTCGAGCAGAGTACCACATTCCCGACTCGGTACGGATGAGAATCCCGGGTCCTACCGAATCCCTCAGTGCGCCGAAGGACGGCGAAGTAGTTTTCTTTACCGACGTCCTTGTGCAAGGCGTTCGGTTGCCGTTGCAGCCGGCGGTGCAGAGGATTCTAGCCCAGATCGGCTACGCCCCGGGGCAATTCAACCCCCAATTTCTGGGTGGCCCTCATGGGAGTGATAACGGCCTTCGGCATGGCCGGCGAAGGGAGCCCCTCCTATGAGCAGTTCTCCCATCTCTACAGTGTCACCAAGTCTAAGTGTGCCGACCACGGTGGATGGGTGCAGGCGAACTGCCTCAGGGCTGCCGATCGAGGCCACTTTGTCAGCTGGGTACCGACTTCACAGAAGTCGTGGAGAAATCGGCGGGTGCTCCTCTCGGGCGACTGGGAGTCGCCTTCGGGACAGCCTGTCCGATTTCGCATTCCTACAACCTTCCAGATGGCCGGTAGGTCCACCTGCCGTTCGGTACCTTCACTGAGTTATCTGTCTACCGTAAGTGACCCTTCCTTTCTCTTCTTTTGTAGGTAAGCTGAAGCAACACAGGCCGAGATTCAGCAGGTGGAGAGAGTGAGGAGGAAAGTCCCTGCCGAGGAGAGAGTGTATCCGCAGTTCCTCTTCACCAACAATCTGATCCGGGCCCAACTGATCGATCCTGCCGAGAGTAAGTACACTTCGTATTTCACGAATCGTTTCTTTTGTTCTGTTGCGGGTCTTACCGAACCCTTTTCTCGCAGTGACGGAAGACAGGAGAGCTGCCGAGGCCAAGAGGATGAACGAGTCCTCCAAGCGCCGTCTCATGATGGGCTTCCAGGGGAAGAAGAAGAAGACCCAGCCGCAAGGCTCGGCGTCGGTCGACCAAGAGGACCAGACACTGGCCGACCGCCTCCGTGAGCTTAACGCCGAATCGGCACAGACCAGAGCGGCAGCGGCCGACCCTTCTCCCCGCCGAGGCGCCACTACCGAAGGGGCTTCCTCCCGAGCGGCCGGCAAACGGCCTTTTACTGTCGATCTAGATGCCGAACCGGCCCCAAAACGCGGACGGCAGGCCGAGCCAACTCGGGCCATCTTTGTCGCCGAAAATGACGAGGAGCCTGCCGATCCCGTCACCCTTGCCTGTCCGTCGAAGACGGTCCAGTTCGCGAACCACATGATCATTGGTTCGCAAATGGAACTGAGCGAGATCGAGGAGCTGCCGAAGAGGCTCCTTCGGGAGGAGGCGGGTCGCGCCTTCCGTCTCCAAGCATCGGTAAGTCCAGAACACTCTCAGATCCAGGTTACCGATTATGTTCGAATCTTTGCTGACATGCTCGTTGTTCTGCAGGCTTCGATGGACATGTGGCTCTGCATGAAGCGGGCCATCAATGCCTCGGAGAAGGCGAAGAAGGCCTACGACGACGGCAGGGCCAGGGTTGCCGAGGCTGGCAAGGCTATCCAGGACCATGCGAACCTGGTGAAGGACTTACAAGCTGCCGAACGGCAGGTCAAGGTTTATGAGTCCAAGTTCGCGGACCTGTCGTCTGCCCTGGAATCGGCACAGCTGTCGGCAAAGGAGGCTCTGGAGGCGAAGGATGCCGTTGAGGTGGCTCTGGAGGAGTTGGAGCGTGCCAAAGCATCAGAGATTGAGGCTGCCGTCCAGGAGGCCATTCGGAAGTATCGCCACTCTACCGAATTCTCTACCTTGCTCGACAAGGAGGTGGGCTCGGAGATGGTGGATCTCATCTACCGATTCAAGCGGTACAATCCTGGGACGAAGCTCAATCTGAACTTCATTGCCGATCCTCCTCCCCTTCCCGAAGGCGTGACAGAAGAGATGATTGAAGAGTACGAAGGAGAAGACGCTCCGGAGGAACACGAAGCTGCTGCTGCTGAAGGGGCGGATGCCGAGGGCCCTTCATCCTGATTGCCGGTCATTTCTTTATGCACTTTTAATGCCGATGGCATTTTTGTAATTTAATTGTGACTTTTATGCCGTTTGGCATCTTCTGTTTGGATAATTAATGCCGTAGGCATTTTTCAATTTAAAGTTCATGTTTTCACTTAAATGTCTTTGCATCTTACTTTTGAATCGGTAGCGTATTTAGGAAATTTTTCTGTTTAATGCCGAAAGTTTTTAAACAAAGGTCACCTGCCGTTGGCCAGTGACTTTCCCTCTTACGCAGGGGGTTCCGATTGTAAAGCAATGGCAAGTAATTGCCGAAAGCTTATAACGTCCAGTAAAGTTTACCAAGTTGTCTTTTAATCGGTAGGATAATGGCGAAGCCAAAATGCGTAGTTTAGCTGCGACCGATGGTCTCTACCGCACCCCTTTTTTTTTGAAAAAAAAATGGATAGATTTGAAAAATATGTGAGCCGAAGGCCCTCTTTATTGATAAACTGCCGAAGGCGAGATTACAATTATGAGCGCGTTTTACAATATAGAACCCGCCGTTGGCTTGGTAACGCTATAATGCCGGAAGCTGTGCTTGTAGAGATGCCGAAGGCTTTTGTGACTCTCCCGTGACCCTGCCGTAGGCAAGGTGACTTCATTTGAAGTAGTACTTCAAATGCTCTACGTTCCAAGGGTGACCGAGGGTCTTTCCATTGGAGTCTCTGAGTCGGTAGGTCCCCGATCGCTGGATACCGATGATCTCGTAGGGTCCCTCCCAGGAAGGTCCGAGGGTTCCTTCCGTGGGATTCTTGGTTGCCAAGGAGACTTTCCGCATGACCCAATCTCCGACTCGGAAAGAGCGGGATCTGACCCTGGAGTCATAGTACCGGGAGACGCGTTGTTTGTAAGCTTCGTTCCGAAGGTTGGCTTGTGCTCGGCGCTCTTCGAGTAAGTCGAGGCTCAGAGCCAGCGCTTCCTCATTTGCCTTCGGTGCGAAGGTTTCCGTTTGGTAGGAGGGCTCTCCGATCTCTACGGGGACTACTGCCTCTGAACCGAAAGCCATGGAGAATGGTGTTTCCCCAGTTGCCGTTCGGTAGGATGTCCGTATGGCCCAAAGCGCTTCTGGGAGCTTTTCTGGCCATGCCCCTTTGGCTTTGTCAAGCTGCCGTTTCAACAGCTTCTTGACAATTTTGTTCATGGCTTCGACCTGTCCGTTCGATTGGGGGTGTGCTGGCGAAGCAAAGAACAGGTTGATCTTGAGTCGTTTGCAGAATTGCTTGAAGACTTCCGAATCAAACTGCCTGCCGTTATCCGTGACGATGGCGTAGGGGATGCCGAATCGGCAGCAAATATTTGTCCAGACGAAATCCTCGACCCTGGCTGCCGTTATTGTCGCCAGTTCCTTGGCTTCTACCCATTTGGTGAAGTAGTCTACGGCAACAACAGCGTATTTTACCTGACCCTTGCCCTCTGGCATCGGACCGATTAGATCCAGTCCCCATTGGGGGAACGGCCATGGGCTCACGATCGGTGACAGTGGCTCGGCGGGAATGTGAGGGACGCTACCGAACCGTTGGCATTTATCGCACCTCTTGACTAGTGTGTTCGCATCCTGATGCAGAGTCGGCCAGAAATAACCCTGCCGGAAGACCTTGTGTGCGAGCGATCGGGAGCCAGAATGGTCCCCGCAGACTCCGCTGTGGACCTCCCGAAGGATGTAGTCCCCTTGCTCTTTGGTCAGGCATTTTAAGTATGGCGTCGTGTAGCCCCGTTTGTACAGAATGTCGTTGATGACTGTGTATCTTGCCGAACGGTAGCGAAGTTTCCGAGCTTGCGACTTATCGGCAGGAAGGGTTCCGGCTGTCAGATAGGCATAGATTGGAGACATCCAGGTCTCCTCGTACCGAACGGTACATACCTCAGCGGCGGTTGTACTTGGTTGGGATAGTATCTCCACCGGTACCTTCCTTCCGATCTTGTCATTTATTGCCGAGGCCAAACGTGAGAGCGCGTCGGCATGGCTATTTTCCGACCTGGGGATCTGCCGTATCTCGTAGGCCTGAAACTTTTGTAGTAGTTGGTGGGCTGCCGATAGGTAGGCTGACATGGAGGCATCCTTCGCTGCGAAGTCTGCCGTTATCTGGTTTACTATGAGCTGGGAGTCGCTGTGAATGCTGATCTGCCTCGCGCTCATGCTCTGGGCTAGCCGAAGGCCGGCCAAGAGGGCCTCATATTCTGCCTCGTTATTGGAGGTTCAGAAGTTGAATCGGAGGGCGTACTCGATTTTACTACCGTCCGGAGTGGTTAAACTAAGCCGGCACCACAGCCTTGCTGGTTTGCCGAGCCGTCCACGTGCAGGATCCAGAGAGGAACAGAAGTGTCGAAACGTTCGGTATTCACTTTTTCTGGTGCGGTGGGGACGACGCTCGGTGATGATGGTTCCGATAAAGCAGGCGGTGTGAGTTCGGAGATGAAGTCGGCAACGGCCTGGCCTTTTTCTGCAGGCCTTGGTTTGAACTGTATGTCAAACTCTCCCAACTCGATTGCCCATTTGACCAATCGGCCAGATGTTTCCGGCTTTTGGAGCACCTGCCGAAGGGGCTGGTTCGTCAGAACTGTGATTTCGTGAGCCTGGAAGTAGGGGCGAAGTCTTCGTGCCGAGACGACCAGGGCCAGTGCTAGCTGCTCTAAGGGTGGGTACCGAAGTTCTGCGCTCTGGAGCGCCTTGCTGACATAGAAGATCGGTAGCTCCGCCTTCTCTGGCTTCCTTATCAACACTGAGCTGACGGCAGTGTTGGATACCGAAAGGTACAGGAATAGTACCTCGCCTGGCAGTGGTTTTGATAACAATGGTGCTTGGCTCATGTAGTTCTTCAAGTTTTGAAATGCTTGGTCGCATTCGGGAGTCCATGTTATATGATGTTTGCCCCCTTTCAAGGCTTTGAAGAACGGTACGCATTTATCGGTAGCCTTGGAGATGAAGCGTGTCAGGGCAGCGACACGTCCGGTAAGGCTCTGAATGTCCTTCTGCGTCTTCGGGGTCTCCATGTCGATTATGGCTTTTATTTTCTCGGGATTGGCCTCGATTCCCCTTTGACTGATCATGAAACCGAGAAATTTTCCGGAAGATACACCGAAGGCGCACTTTGCCGGGTTCAGCCTCATTCGGTAGTCCTTTAGAATACCGAACATGAGGGCCAAGTTTTCCAGGTGATCCCCTGCCGTTCGGCTCTTTACCAACATGTCGTCAACATAAACCTCCATGATGCCGCCGATGTATTTAGCGAAGATCCGGTTGACGAGCCGTTGATAAGTTGCCCCCGCGTTCTTCAGGCCGAAGGGCATGACGTTGTAACAGTACAAACCGCGATCCGTGATGAATGCCGTATGCTCTCTATCGGCAGGGTCCATGAAGATCTGGTTGTATCCTGAATACGCGTCCATGAAGCTGAGCAGCTCGTGCCCGGCGGTGGCATCGACGAGCTGGTCAATCCTCGGTAGGGGGAAACTGTCCTTCGGACAAGCTTTATTCAGGTCGGTATAATCCTGACACATTCGCCATCCTCCCCTGGCTTTCCGAACCATGACTGAGTTGACCAGCCAAACAGGGTACGTAGCTTCCCTGATAAAGCCGATGGCTTTGAGCTTGTCAACCTCGGCTCGCATCGCCTCGTACCGTTCGGCATCGTACGATCGGCGCTTTTGCCTGACTGGTTTGTGGGCAGGGGAGATGCTGAGCTTGTGGCTGATGACGTCGGGTGATATGCCGGGCATGTCGTCATAAGACCAGGCGAAGACTTCCGCATGCTGCCGTAAGAAGTCGATGAACTGCCTTCGGAGGTCGGGGTCAAGATTGGTGCCGATCTTCACCCACCGATCGGGGAATTCCTTGTTCAGGATTATGGTCTCCAGCTCCTCGGCGGGCTGTGCCATTGGCGTTGGGTTTTCCTCCCGGGGGTCGTCAATGGGTTCGTTACCGTTCGGTAGTCCCTGCAAGGTCATGGCCTCCATTGGCGGTTTGCTGGCTACCGACTTAAGGGCCGTGGCATAGCACGTCCGTGCGCTGAGCTGATCTCCCCGGATGGCTCCGGTACCGTTGCGTGTTGGGAACTTCATCAGCAACATGTGTGTGGATAGGTGGGCTTTGATCCTGGTGAGTGCCGTTCGCCCTATGATGACGTTGTATGCTGTTGGGCAGTCAACAATGAGGAATTGGTCATAGGTCATGGTCTTCCGGGGGGCCATGCCGAAGGCAATGGGTAAACTGATGCTACCGACCGGTTGTACCAGATCTCCAGAGAAACTGAGGAGAGGCGTGATCTGCCGATTGACCATGCTATCCGCAATTCCCAGTCCCTTGAAAGCATCGGCAAAGATTACGTTCACCGAGCTTCCGGTGTCAATCAGCACCCGACCCACGTCGTAATCGGCGATCTCGGCCCGAATGATCATTGGGTCGTCGTGGGGGTAGATGATCCCCTCCTCTTCTTCTTCACTGAACGTGATGGGCTCCCTTCCCACCTTTGACAACTTTCGGCACCGATCCTCCGCTATGCCGAAAACCTGAGGGCAGTGGGCGGCGCGCACATACTGCTTCGCCGAGCGGTTGGAGGGTCCCGCCAGGGTGGGGCCACCGCTGATCGTGTTGATCATGTTGATCTGCCGATTCGCATTCGGTGCCGGGGCCTGTGGCGGCCTGGCAAGGTACTGATCCAACTTCCCTTCCCGAATCAGGCGCTCGACAATTTTCCTTAGACTGATGCAGTCTTCGGTATTGTGGCTGTTCTGCTGGTGATATCGACAGAATTTGCCAGTATCCCGATTATCTTGCCGATTGGGCTTCCGGTTGGTCGGCTTCGGGATCTGGTCGTGTTCGTTCATTAGAACGGTCTCGTACGTCGTGTTCAGCAGGGTGAAGACTTCCTGAGCACGATCGTGATTCGGTAGGGGTGCCCGGTGGTCGTTACGACCGTACTTCCCACGTCCTTTCTTTGAATTTCCCTGCGGTTATCCCGGTCGTCCTTCCGTTTGTGTCCTGCCGACGGTTCGTCGGTTCGGCCTGGATAGCTTTTGGCTGCCGATTCCTCCTTCCGAGCCGAAGGCCCGGGTTTGGAGTTGAAGTATTCGGCCTTCGCATGGACTGCCGCCTGCTTCATTAACTCGTCATACGTGCGCCAGTTGCTACTGTGCACGAGATACCGGAAGTGAGAGGACCGTAGGCCACTCTTGAAGGCGCCGTAGGCTGCCCTATCGTCCGTCTCGGGACACCTTGAGTACTCGTGACTGAAGCGCGCTGCGTATTCCCGTAGGGGTTCGTCCTCCCTTTGCCGAATCGTGTACAGGTCGTCGGCAGAGTACAACCGGTCCGTCTGGATCATGAAGTGGTTGAGGAAAATCTGCTTCAGTTCGTCAAAGGAATGTACCGTCCCTGGCTCGAGACGGTAGAACCAGTTCAGCGCAGCTCCGGTAAGGGACGAGGGGAACAGCAGGCATTGTCCCTCGTCGCTAAGGCCCTTACATCCAACTGCCGATTGGAAAGAATGGAGGTGCGTCAGAGGGTCCTCCACACCGGTATAGAAGGGTATGCGCAACGGCTGCACCTCCCTGTCCGGTCTGGACCTCTTGATGCGCTCGGTAAAGGGTCCGGGTCGAAGTTTTCCCCAGTCAGGGACCTGGGATCGGGTTCGGTCTTCCTCCATCTTCTGGATTCTTTGGAAAAGTAATCGGATGGTGGGGTCTCGGCTGGGGACGTCCTCGGAACCAAAGTCCTCGGAAGCTTTCCTTGGACTTGGTGATCTCGCCCTCGAATACTCCGGGAGAGCTTCCGAACGGTAGCTCGATTCGGTGTCCCTGGTGGGGATGTACTCATCGTCGGATTCCTGCGCCGAATCCAAACCCTGAGCCCTCCGAAGGGGCGACTTATCCCCCAAGACCCTCATCCGGGAGTCCCTCAAGTTGGCGTTTAGTCTGATTGGGGACCTATGCCGTTCGGCATCCTTCTTGTCGTTGATCCGATGACGACAGTCGGTGTATACCTTCTTCGGTACGTGCGGTTGGTCCTGGGGTGCCGGGACTACCAGCTGCTTGGAAGGCGCAGGCGTTGCCTTTGCCCCCTGTTTTCCCTTCCTCTGCCGACCGGGGGTCTGCTGACTCTGGGAAGATTCGGTGCTTCGAACGTTTTGCGTTTCCTGCTGATTAAGCAACCGTTGGGTTTCGTCCACTTTGGACGAGAGGAGATTGTTACGTTCTTGGAGTTTAGCCATCTCCTTTCGGAGGGAGGTCATCTGAGCCAAAAGCTCCGCTTCGACCGTGGTCTGAAGCGCAGGTGGATTACCGAAGGGAGTGCTAGGGTGCAGCGCGGGGCTTGCTCCACTTGGCATACCGTACGGTAATCCATCCTCTGATAGGAACTGTTGTCCTGAAGTGGTCCCCATTTGTTTTGTTTAGGAATTGTAGGTTGGTTTTATCGTTTCCCACAGACGGCGCCAAACTGTTGACGCAGAAAAATGGTTCTGCACTTTCCCGCGCAACTTAGTGATTAAGTCTCTTTGGTATCTGATGTCCTCGGTAGGGTGTGCGATCTGTAAGATAGCAAACACACGGTAAATCCTAGGGCACCGGTGTGGTACCGGCCGAAGGCTCTCCGATGCTTAAGTAAGTACGGATTTAGTAAGTTTTAACTGCAGATCAATAGGCAGTATGCCGTAAGTTCTGATTGATTACCTTCAGGCTGGGATAGGTGTCCTCTTTTATAGGCCTTGGGAGGTGTGCAATTTGTTTAGAGTTTCGATGTGGGACTCTGGGCGTCAATCGTGGAGCTGCCACGTGCCAGAGTGGGCAAGGTTGCCCTAATGTTGTGATCGGTAGGTGAAGTACCGAAGGCGAGTGCCGAAGGCACACGTAGCCCTGGCCTAGTCCACGTGGTTGATGTTCATTGGGTGTTCATTTTGGTATAAACAAAATCCTTCCTAAAGGATGTTGAGGGGAAGAAACTGCAGACGGAAGGAGAGGAGACATGGGTAGCTAGTGTGAGAGATTTGGCCTATGATGAAGATATCATTGATGAGTTCATGTACCAAATGCATGAGCAGCAAAGTGGGGGTAGATTTGCAAGCTTGCTCCGCAAAACCATTTGCTTTCCAAACCATTGGAACAGAGGTCGATTTGCAAGGTGGCTCCACAAAACTAGACACAACCCAAAGTATCTTTGGTATAGGAGTCGATTTACAAGGTGGCTCCACAAAACCGTTGACATTCCAAAGTATAAGGGTCGATTTGCAAGCTGTCTCCACAAAGCCATTCACATTCCAAAGAAACTTTGGTATAGGCGTCAAATTGGCAAAAAGTTATAGAAAATCACAAAAACCATCAAAGACATTACAGATACGATATTGATCCCCTAAAAGGAACAAGTTCAGATGACATTCAAAAATGGGTGAAAAACCAAGCAGAGTCTTCCCTTTTTATTAAGGAAGACGAACTTGTGGGGATTGAAGACAAGAAGCAAATATTGATGGGATGGCTGATGAACGGAGAGCAACAACAAGCGGTTATCTCTGTAGTTGGGATGGGAGGATCAGGGAAGACAACTCTAGTTGGAAAAACCTTCACCAGTTAAAGTGTGAAGAGACATTTCAGCTGTTATGCGTGGATTACGGTTTCCCAAAGTTATGTGATTGAAGATTTGTTTAGAAGCTTGATCAAGGAAGTCCACCAAGCAACGAAGGAAGAGGTCCCTGCAGCTGCAGACTTAAATTCCATGAGCTATAGGGAATTGCTACATATACTCGTAACCTACTTGGAGTCTAGAAGGTACCTAGTTGTATTGGATGACGTGTGGGATATAAAACTTTTGAAAGAAATGAGGATAGCAATTCCAAATAGACAGCTTGGAAGTCGAATCATGCTCACTACTCGAAAAGAAGACATAGCCTTCTATTCTTTTGGAGTAGAAAGCCATGTTCATCGTATTCAACCGTTGGAAAAGAATGAGGCTTGGGAGCTCTTCAGCAAGAAAGCATTCTCAACTCACCATAAGAAACGTTGTCCACCAGAGCTTGAATCATCAGCTTGGGAACTTTTGGGGAAATGGAAAGGCCTACCCCTAGCAATCGTAGCTTTAGGTGGTCTTATGTCTTCCAAGGAGTCATCTCCGGAGTGGAGAAAAGTCTGCAACAGCATAAATTGGCATCTAATAAATGATCATTTCCTAGAACCTGTGAAGACAATCTTGTTTCTCAGTTTCAACGATTTGCCATATCGACTGAAACATTGCTTCCTATATTGTTCAATTTTCCCAGAAGATTATTTGATTCGAGCAGAAAGGCTTATTAGATTGTGGATAGCTGAAGGCTTCGTTGAACATGTTAAAGGGGTCACACTGGAAGAAGTTTCTGAGAACTATCTTATGGAACTCAATTTTCGTAGCATGTTGCAGGTTGTAAGGTGTCCAACTATAAGACAAGCATGTAAGATGCATGATCTTATGCGGGAACTTGCTTTGTCCACATTAGAAAAAGAAAAGTTTTGTGTTGTCTATGATGGGAGAGAAGTAATGGAAGAAATCAGAGCTCGTCGTTTGTCAATTCAGACATCTGAAGGAGAAATTAAAGTATGCAAAGGTATGTCGCAGCTTCGTTCATTTCATGTGTTTGTCACTGGTGTATTCTCGCCGTCTATTTCAAGTACATTGCTTTCTCAATTCAAATTGTTGAGGATTCTAGATTTGGAGGATGTACCAATTGAAGAACTGCCTGATGGTCTTATGTACTTATTCAACTTAAGATATTTGAGTTTGAGTAGAACTTCAATTAAAAAACTTCCAGAATCCATAGGACAGCTTTGCAATCTTCAAACCTTAGACATCAGCGACACAGAGATTGAAACAGTTCTGAAAGAAATGCCAAGTTGGTAAACCTACGCCATCTAATTATGTATCGATACAGTGGAGCATCTTGGGAATTTAGATATGCTAAAGGGATTAGAGCACCATCAAATATTTGTATGTTGAAAAAATTGCAAGTTTTGTCATTTGTTGAATCAGACTCGGAAGGAAACTTTTTAAAACTTGTTGGGAACATGACGCAACTTACTCACATTGGCATTACAAATGTAAAAGGAAGTAATGAGATGAACCTTTGTGCTTCCATTCAAAAGATGAAGCTCCTTCGCTACCTGTATTTATTGGTTACAAGTGAAGAGGAATTTCTTCGAATCGATGCACTTGCTTCTCTTCCAGGTCCTCCGCCACACCTTCAAAGGCTTCTTTTGAGCCGCAAACTAGCAACTGTACCAAGTTGGTTTGCTTCACTCAGGAGCCTCACAGATATCAGTCTACGTTGGTCTAGACTTAAAGAAGATCTACTACCACACATTGAAGCACTGCCCTGTCTTAGAAGGCTTATCCTTGTTAATGCCTATGTTGGGAATGAGTTGTGCTTCAATATAGGCTTTGCAAGGCTCACACATCTGGAGTTGCTTAATTTCCCCTTCTTGAAAAATATAACAATAGAAGAAGGTGTGATGCTGAAACTCCAGTTGTTAATACTTCATTGCTGCATGAAATTAAAGGCATTACCACACGGTCTTGAATTCCTTAGGAATCTAAAAACATTGCGATTGGGGTCTGTTCCGATGAAAATTATAGAAAATATACGAGAAGGAGGCGTGGATCATCCAAAGGTACAACACATCCGTGAAATTGACCAAATTTATGAAACATCATCTGCTACTTCTTCTGCAAGGTGAAAGCTCGCCCCACGATTCTTTCCCCACACCGTAAGTTTTCTGTCCTTCCATTGACTTTCCAAAGCTTAATCATTTTAGATCCTTTAACTACTGCTATATAAGCCACTTCTCATTTACAAGTCTGTTTTATGTGCATTCATTTTGATTATGGGGTGTTGCTCTGTCTCCTTTACAGACTCAAATTGGAGAAGCATGGTGCAAAGATGAATTTGTGTGAAGATGGAAAGACTGAGCTTCTTGTTTTGCACTACTTAATATTTGTATTTTCTGATCAAATGTTGTTTGTACTCTAGCTTGGCTGATTAAACAATTCCTAGTGCTTTCACTGCTGATTTTATTTTTATTTTTTATTTTTAAATCTCATTAAGAGTGAGTTATTTATTTATTATTTTATTATAATGAGTTTGAATATTTTGCTATTATTACCAACATTATTAGAATTATTATTACTTTTACAATTCATTTTGCAATGCAACAACACTATTAGTCAGGAGCTCATAATTCTGGATTTCTGATTCTACCATCAAGTTTCTTCAACCTGTGGTATCCTTGCAATTATTAATCAAAAGTCAACTGGAGTTATCCATGGAGGGCCTGGAAGTTATAATGTAAAAATATGGAAAACTTTAATTACAAGTAATGATTCCTCCATGGAGGGCCTAAGCAAAGTGAGAATGCAGATTTCACTATGCCCACTTTGCTCATTTTGTTCTCTGCTTTGCTAAATTATTTGGAAATGAAGTAGACAGGTTTTTCATTTTCTCCCAGATTTCACCATGCCCCTGCCGTGCATTGTTACTGTTGTTATTTATCAAGTTTTTCACCATACAATTATATGTGTTCTACGGTTGTTAAAAGTTTTCCGGATCAGGAGAAGATAATTGGCAGTGTACAAGTATAGGAAACTCTCAAAATCAATAATTGAGCATTAGATAGTGATTACTACTTCTGAAGGCATTACATAATCAAATAGCAAACACACTCACAAATCAAATTACATAAGATTCCATATACTCAAAGCAAAATTCACTAATGATCAAATCGCTTCAAATAAAACTTGAGATAGTGATGGAAAATAATTAAGATTTGCAGCCTCACACAAGAAAGCAAGGGTTCTTCTAGGCGCAACTGGGTAAAATCTTTTAGTCTCATACTAGATTCTGCATGGCAAACAACAAAAGCGAAATGATAATCAAACAGAATTTCAATACAAAATTCTTGTGCTATCGAAACTAACTATTGCAGACCTTTAGTCCATAGACAAAAATACATGGCCTTAACAAATAGTTCGTACTAGAATAGTTTATATGATGCAAGATTAGGGAAATCAAGGCATATATAAAAAACGAAAAAGGAAAACCAGGAGACCAAAAAAAATAATTTAAAACCTCACATACCTCCTTCCAAAACAACTAGGACAAGCTTTCACGACACATCATCCCCAGTGACGATTTGTAATAATGGTAGATCTCAGGGATGTGTTGTACCTTTTCACGATCCACACCTCCTTCTCGTATAGAATCCTTAAGTTCCTTTGATACAACCACCAATGTCAATGCTTTTAGTTCAGTGAGGTATTCAAGACCCTGTGGCATTGTGTTTAGTTCTGGGCAGTTTTCAAGGCATAAGAATTGGAGATTTGACATCACCCCTTTCTCTACAGTTACCTTGTTCAATAAGGGGCAAGTAGACAATTCCAATTTCGTAAGCTTTGCAAAGCCTCTGCAGAAACATAACTCTCTGCCAGCATATGCATTAACAAGTGTAAGCCTTCCCAGATTGGGCAGTGCTTCAATGTAAGGTAGTAAATCTTCTTCAATTCCAGACCAAATTAGATTCAAATGTGTGAGGCTCTGGAGTAAGGAGACCCAACGTGGTACCTTTTCCAATTTCCATTCAAAATAACTGTTCGAAGGTGGGGAGGAGGTGAGCACAGTGTGTTTGTTTGAAGAACTTCCTCTTCATCGCTTGTCATTAGAAACAAGTAGTGAAGTTGCTTCATCTTTCGAATTGAGGCACATAGGTCCATCTCATCTCTTTCTTTTACATTCGTAATTCCAATCCTTCTAAGTTGGGTCATATTCCCCACAAGTCTAACAATCTTTCGTTCTAATTCAACACAAGCCAAAACTTGCAATTTCTTCAACATACATATATTTGATGGTGATCTTGTCCCATTCACATATCTGAAGCCCCTATGCTCTTCAGTGCGACGATACATAATTAGATGGCGCAAGTTTTGCAACTTGGCAATTCCACTTGGAAGTACCTCTATCTTTGAGTCCCTGATATCCAAAGTTTGAAGGTTGCGGAGCGTTCCAATGGATTCAGGAAGCTTCTTAACTGGAGTTCCCCTTAAATTTAAGTATCTTAAATTGAATAAGTACGCAAGTTCTTTTGGCAGTATATCAATTGGAACGTATTGCAAATCTAGCACCCTCAACAATTTGCATCCAGAAGGCAATGTATTCGAGGAAGAGGATGAGGACACGTCAGTAACAAACATAAGAAAGGAACGAAGTTGTGCCATACCAGTGCCTAGTTTAATTTCTCCTCCAGTGGTTTGAGTTGACAAGCGGCGCACTTGAACTTCATCCATAACTTCTTTTCCATCATATACAGCACCAAACTTTTCCTTTTCTGATTTAGACAGAGCAAGTTCCCGCATAAGGTCGTGCATCTTACATGCTTTTGGCCTTCCACTTTCATTCCTCTGAACAACCTGTAGCATGCTACGGAAAATGAGCTGCATAAGATAGCTCTCAGCAACTTCTTCTGGTGTGGCGGCTTTTCCATCCTGAACAAACCCTTCAGCTATCCACAACCTAATGAGCCTCTTTCTTCGAATCGAATAGTCTTCTGGGAAAAGGGAACAGTACATAAAACAGTGCTTCAATGGGTATGGTAAATCATCAAAACTAAGCAACAAGATGCTCTCCACTGGCTCTAGCAACGGATGGTTAGTTAAATGCAAGTTTAAGCTGTTGCAGACTTGCTTCCACTCGAATGGCTTCTTGGAGGACATCAGACCACCTAAAGCCACGACTGCCAGAGGTAGGCCTTCACACTTTTCTACAAGTTCCTCAGCCAATGATTGAAGATCTAGTGGACAACATTTATTCTGGTAAGCTGAGAATGCTTTGCTGCTGAATAGCTCCCAAGCATCATTCTTTTCGAGGGGTTGAATGTGGTGAATATGACTTTGTACTCCAAAAGAATAGGATGCTACGTCTTCTCTTCGAGTGGTAAGCATGATTCGACTTCCAAACTGTGTATTTGGGAGTGCTATCCTCATTTCTTTCCAAAGTTTGATATCCCACACATCATCCAATACAACCATGTACCTTTTAGACTCCAAGTAATTGACCAGCACCTGTAGCAATTCTCTATATGTCATGGAATTCATGTCTGCAGGGACCTTTTCCATCCTTGCTTCGTGGAATTCCTTAATCAAGCTTCTAAACAAGTCGTCAATCACGTAAGTTTGTGAAACAGTTAGCCAAGCACAACAGTGAAATTTTTTCTTGACCCTTTCGTCGTTGAGGGTCTTGGCAACTAAAGTCGTCTTCCCTGATCCGCCCATCCCCACCACAGAGATAACCGTTTGCTGTTGCTCTCCATTCATCAACCAATTGATCAATAGTTGCTTCTTTCTTTCAATCCCCACGAGCTCATCATCCTTAATAAAAAGAGAAGATTCCGCTTGGTTCCGCATCCATTTGCCAACGTCATCACAAGTACTACTTGTTCCTTCTAATCCACCGACACCATATCTCTGATTCCTCTCCGGAATGGCTTTAATGCTTCTTGAGATTTTCCTCAACTTCTTTGACATTTGACGTCTGAACCAAACATTCGGTGGAATGCGAATAGTTTGGTGGAACCACCTTGCAAATCGGCCATCATGACATCCTCGCTCATACATGTGATACATGAACTCGTCAATGATGTCTTCAACATCGTAGGCCATGCCTCTGACGCTTGCAACCCACGTCTCCCCACCTTCGGTGAGTGCCTTCTTGCACTCAAAATCATTTAGGAAGACCTTCATGCTTACAAGCTCCTGCTTGATGTCATCAATTTCATCACGAACACCGGCTATGGAGGATGCTTCGTTCTCAAAAATGGTCACAATTTTGCCAATCAAGAGGTCTGTTGGCAAGGCCATAACTGGCCTTGTATCCAAACTAGTTGCTCACAATGGTAGAACGAATTTCAATATAGGAAAGGTTGAAAGATGAGCCAAATGAATCAAATGACGATTTCAGCTGGCAGTGGAAATTTCAGTGATTTGAAATTTTATCAGTGGAAGCTCTCTCTCTCTCTCTCTCTCTCTCTCATATTTGTTTTTCTTCCTCTCTCCACCCATGAAAAAAACAGCTGTAAACATGAAAGCAAGAGCTAATTGAGAAAAAAGAAAATTTCTTGCATTATTACTACCCGTTTGGACCAAAGAAAGCTTCCCAAAGGTGAACGTGATTTACGGAGAGAGCCTAAAGTTGCCAAATAAAAAAAAAAAAAAAAAAAAAAAAAAAAGTCAAAGTAATCGAAAGTTGCTTCCCTTCTCTTTGGTTTGACTTGAAAATATGATCTTTTGGATTGTATATAGGTAAGTGAATCTCGTGGCCTTAGGCAAAACTTTAGATAAAATAACAAATCTGATGCAACTTCTGTATTGAGATATAATTTCCCCTGTCCACACTGAAGGCTAAAGAGGAATGCACCATGTGTGCGTCCAATCAAGCAGTCCAGCTCACGTAAAAATATAGGACTTCTTTAATAAAGATCTTTAGATTAATTTAATGACATATTGACACATATTAGGAAAATACTTGCCTCATTTCCTAGAAGTAAGAACTCCCACTTTTTATGCTAGGAACTCCCACTTTTATGCTGATCATAGTTTGATATGTGTGCTGCAGAAATTCTCCTTTTGTGTATAGTTGAATTAATTTTGCATTAAATTTTGATTTGCATGAAGTATGAATGCCTCCTTTCAA